TGAAACACTTAATTACAATTTCGGTTAGAATTTATATAATACCACATCACCTCCTTGAATATCGACTGAACTATAACCTTAAGAAACTTTTAGTATCTATTAACGTGACATTAATCAAAACTGCTTCTTCAAACATATCAGATTGGCATTCTTGTGATAATATCAAGCATCTAATTATAGTGTGACAATTTCTGATCCGTCAATACTTAACTTTTCCGATGAGAAAATTACACCAGTGAAATAACTGAACCAATCAAGAAAGTGACATCCTGCTAGAACTGCGTATCATTGCAATTCCATTCGAATGTGGTCGATAATTGGCAAATACAATATGCTAAAATATTACGCACACGTGGTATAAAGACTTCGAACTGTAAACCTGGAACATAGCCTCATTTCCATGTGAATGTCGAAACAAATTCGAAAAAGGAAGAAATAATAATAGGCAATACCCAGCAGCATATTTAAGTGGGACGCTCGGCAGGTAAGCTGCTTCCTCCTAAAACCCAACCCAAAAGTAGATTTATTAGTTTTATTGCTCCGACAAACGAACAAGCGATATGAAATGATTTTGTCAAAACGGATCAAATTCAAACAACGTCAATTAGAATTTAAAAAGCAGGCTTCTGAAATGCTAACTTTTTTAACGGCAGTAGCTCATTATATTATTATGTAAATATTAAAATAATGTTCATCTATTGTTTGATAAAAATTGAGTAAATAAAACAAAATGCAGAGTTTTAGATACAATTTTTTACACCTTTTTATAGCTTGAGAAAAATCAATAATAATAATTGTCAATTATTTACAACTGCCATGAATATATATATATATATATATATATATATATATATATATATATATATATATATATATATATATAATTTTCTCACGTATTGATTCACGGATGGAAAAATGTGATGACACTATCATCCCGTTGAACTCCGACTGGAATCCTGCAGAGGTTTCGCCAAAATCTCACTTGGCATCTTCAATGCTCGCGCTCCGAGTGTTCGAAGTGTTTTCGGAGCGCGAGCATTGAAGATGCCAAGTGAGATTTTGGCGAAACGTCTGCAGGATTCCAGTCGGATGCAGGATTTGCAGAATTCCAGTCGGAGTTCAACGAGCGAACGGATGATATCCCGGAATATAGTGTCATCATATATATATATATATATATATATATATATATATATATATATATATATATATATATATATATATATATATATATATATATATATATATATATATATATATATATATATATATATATATATATATATATATATATATATATATATATATATATATATATATATACATATAAGTTGTGAAATGAGGCATCTGTATCTGGCAAACTTTATATTACCAGAACCTATATATGAACCTATATGCACTTTGTCTTAAAATTAAGCCCATTAAACTGTTGCAAAGTGCTCTATTGTTTATTGCAGCTAATTACGCTTTACATACTAACTTTTTATTTGTGCATATGTTTAACGTATTCTGTTTTCCCAGTTCTTATTTAATTTGCTCTCAATTGGTATTAACCGCAATATGTGAACGCGTACCTCGATTTTCCCACTCTAATTAAAAGCCAGATGGCTGTGAAACAAGCCATTCAATAAATTTGCCCCAAACTATTCGCAAAACAAAGATAAGAACTTCTACAAATTTTACCCTTGGGATATATATAACGGTCACCTTTTCGATAGGTAAATGTTAAACCATTAAAGATAAATACAATTCAGTGGCATACAAGTGGGAAATTTACATGAATAATATCCTGAAGATGAAAAAATTATATTATCAGAGGTGGACTAAGAAATATTTCAGAAAAACCGATTCTCTTACAAAGAAAAAAGTTATACAAACTTTTTGGGATCAAAATGAGCTTCTTCGAAATTCATTATAGGGTGACCCAATTTTGTACACTACTAACTGAAATTTTAAATTTAACACTCAGTATTAGTAAATATAAAATGAAACACATAACATTTTTATCTAATCTCGAACCGTTTTGAGAGTTTTAACTTAAAATGTAGTAAATTATAATTTTATATGTTTTTTTTTCTTGCAAACGAGTAACAGTAGACATGAAGTACTGACTTAACCAGCTGAAAAAGCTGAACCGCACAACTGTTCAATAAGTTTTTGTTCGTAAAATTGCAAATAAGTGTGCTAGGAAAAAAATACCAAATAAATACACAACTTTCATCCCATTGAAACGATTCTATCTTTAATTATTCGAAAGTTACCAATATAATCCGATTGAAAAAACGACCGTCCTGTATGCATCGCTTTCCCGCACCGTGACGGCGTTTTAAAAAATTTCACGCTGATTTTCCAACGTAATAATTTGCACGTACTTATCTAAAAAACGTCAAAGTTACTGCGGCATAAAAGCACGATAAAATCATGAAGATTAAATCGTTTTCTGGTGCGTGAAGGCTTTAACGAAATCTTATCAGTGTAATTTGTTTAATTTTGATCGAGTAACGTTTACGTTACATTGAAACGCGAATAAATCGCGTCTCATTTCCGCGATCGGCGGAAAAATCGAATATGTTTTTTATTCTCCATTATGGTATTGTGAGAACTCGCTCAGCTGCTTATCTAAAAATAGTAAAGAAAAAACAGACGACATGTGGATTATTCTATTTCAGTCCGGAATTTATTTTAAAATTTCTTAAGACAAGAAGGCTGAAGAACAGTAAAAATTAATTGTTTTGGGGCCATTTACCTTAAATACTGGATTATGACCTCTGCATAATTCTCCATATCATTTATTGCAGTGTCATGGGACGATAGTATTCAATGGACAATGAAAACGAGCACAAAATTACTTGTGCAATTGAAATTGAAATTGAAAAACAATTGCTGCAATTTTAGTAATGTTGCAAATAAAAAGGCAAATTTTCCGTGTTGTCTATGTTTTTATTATGGTTATTCTGCATTCTATCCCCACGTATTAGTTCTAGTTCGCAGTTACTGTTCAGACATGGACACCGCGCTCATCATTTATACCTAGTTTCTTAATGCGAGAGCTAAATAAAAGGTAAATTTGAATTACTAATTTGGTTTCAATACTATCTTCCGATAAATTCCGTATTCCTATATTATAAATTAAGGCCATAAGAGTTTAGTAAATGAAAGTAATGTGACAGAGGCTTTACTGCAGGTAGTCTATTATTTTGATAAATATAATAACAGTTATACATTATATAATTATACTTATTAAGAAATAGGGCTCAATTTATAATTTGAAGTTTGAATTTTACTTTTATTTTCCTATTTCAATTTTTTCTTCGACTCTTTCCTGTGCCTAATGCGCTTCTGAAATTTAAGGTATATTTGTTTTTATACTTTTTATGCAATTCTGCATTTTTTCTTTATTTTATTTTCAAGAGAATACGATTGTGCATCTTTCCTGGTTAGGTGCCAAAGTATACCTAGTGTCAATGAGGTGACAGGTCCAACCAGAACTCTGCCAAAAAATGAAATAAATTTGAAATTTAGAGAGAGGAAGTGATGTCAGCTTTCTTATTTTAACTAACACCTCCTGCTTGTGTTCTATGGGTAAATCCAGGTATTTTTACCTCATTTCTATAGCTCAAATAGTTTTGAAGGCGATTGGGTTCAAAAATTTCTCTGTCATTTTTCCTCAGTTATTTGAAATAAAAAAAAACATTTGAACCAAAACATTGAAAAGACACTTTTTTCACTTTTATCAAAGGTATTTGATAAAAGGGAAAAATTAGACTGTTACCGGAAGTCCAAAAAAAATTTTACTTACCAAAGAAAATAAACTATTTTCAATATTTTTTAGTGATATACGCTTTGAATTTTAAATTAAAATCGCAAAAATCTCAAAAAGTATTGGAGACACATAAAAACGCTTTATCATAAGTATTATTCTAAATTGAATACATAATAAAAAAATGGGACTTTGCATTCGAGGTTTTTGCGGAAAACTACTACAAAATCCAATTTTTAGCGTTCCCGTAAAAGCGAATATATGTTTTTTTTAATTTTTATCAAGTGGTTTTATGTACAGAACACTCTTTCTGAGAATTCTTCTTTGATTAAAACATGTTTGTTTTGACATTTTTTAATGCTATATATCTCTAAAACTATTACGAAAAATTTACTCGTAGAATACGAAAATCGAAAAATATACGTTGTGTTTCATTTGAAATAAAAAAGTTGAATTGTCTTATATGCCAAAATGTATCTCTACTTTATTTATATAACATGTCTCAATTTCAAATTTATTTAATATTATTTGAGGGCAAGTAATTTCATCGACACCCGGTATATTTCCCACGCTTCTTCATTTCTATTCTTTTTTTTTTGAGCTGAGTAAACTGCAATCGAATTTTTTATTTAGTCACCAATGAAACACCTCGTATAAAAAGAGTAGATCGTGAAAAACAACAATTAAATTTTAAAATACGACAGTATCAAAAAATTCGAACGCACAAATTCGTAAATACTCGGCTTAAGTGACCTACGCTCTGCAACAATGAACCCAATTACTGAAACTGTAGTCCACTAAAAAGCAATAAATTCGCTAAAGGACGTTTCCTGTTGTCGATAGCGCTTAAATACGAGGGTCATACGATAAATAATTTTGAAAATGAAAAAATGCGTGTAAAAAATTTTTTGAGAATTGTGAGTTGTTTTCGAAAGCTTTCAATAATTTCGTTTTTTTTTCCTGTTAAATAGCACTGTAATGAGATTACAAAAGTTTCACTTTAGTTTTATTTATTTCGTTGCACAATACATCCTGAAAAGTTTAACTTCCAAGAAAAAATGTGTTAATAATATAGTTTCCATTTAAACTCTCTTCGCCAGTGAAAAATCATATTTAATAATTTAAATTTCAATTCAAACATAATACAAATTTTTGGGAGATAAACAAAGTAATTAAATATTGCTTTAATTAAATTAACCAATAAACTTTACAGTTCGATAAAACTGAAAATTCACATTACCTGATCGATTTAGTACCAGTTGTGAATAAAACCGCTACCGATTTTCAAATAGGTTCACCAAAAAAAAAAGGCAAAAGGGAATGCAGTATACAACCACCGGATACAACTGTACGCAACCACCGACTTGGTGATTCCACAGCCCACAGCTTACTACTACTAAATATAACGATGAATGACGCCGAAAGCTCTCTCGAAAAAGCGTGTACCTTAGGGCATGCGCACTGCCGTCGGTGGGTGTATCGCGTCCTGAATGTTATTTGTGTTTTATTTTTTAGCGAGTTACGTCACAATGTTTGACGTCAGCGGTCGCGAGAGGTGTGTCAATGTTTATCTCCTTTATTTCCGATCGGTAGCGACGCGCGGTTTGCATTTTTAGAAGGTTTTCCTTGGATATGTGACCATCTCCCATATTAAGGAATTTGGGAACCTAATTTTCTTATTTAATTAATAGCGTTCTTTTGAAAGCCATACAATTGGTTTGTGTATCGTTTTATTCTGTAACACTTAAGAGATGGATTTTTAGTTTCACATTGGTACTTGTTAATGTGTTTTTTTTTAATCTCGGCATTGTTGCTTGGGTTGTTGATCGAGACGCAAGCAGCACTCTGTAATTTTCTTCAGTTGTGAAAATAGAGTTTCACTAGAAAATCCGCGTTTTCTTTATTCAACTATTAGACATATTAAGTATACAAAAAGTTAAATATAATGCTTTTTATGATTGTTAGTTGTTTACATTATTGGTCAATAACTAACTTTCAACAATCTGTATTTTCTAAACCATCAGCGTTTGGATAGGAAAAATTTTCTCCCACTGGAGCATTGCATGGAATATGAAATATACACGAATACGAACACTATCACGGATGATTTACATACGTCAAACAAAAAGGACTAAAATAACATACTTCAAATGCACTTGGTACATTATAATTGAAATACAAATATTCATCAAAAGAATAAAAATGCTGATTAATTAAAAATCGTTTGACTGTTTGTTTATACAAATGGTGAATTACGAACAGCATTTGGAAGCGCATAAAAAATTTAACGGACCAATAATTTGGACTAGTCTGACACCTCTCTAAGCGCCAGTAGGTAATAATCACATTGTCCCGACCTCTGGTTTGATGGTCATGCACTTCCTTATAAGTGGTAAATAGATGCAGATTTGTCTTTATAACTAATAGTTTTTTAACACAAACAACGAGGACAATGTAAGAATTTCCAAGTCTCGAAAAGCATTTTTACAGTCCTCCCGATAACTAAGTCCACTAATAATTGGAATTGCTTTTCTTTGTAATCTGAACAAACGGTGCCTGCCAACAGCATGCCCCAAATATCGCATATAGGAGGTGTGCATGAAAAAGTGCAAAATATGCAGTCCTTAACACACCAGGAGAGACATTTTCGAAGCAAATACAACCTTTTGGTCAGTTTTTGAGCAACAACATATATATGGGAGTCCCACTGAAGTTTTGGGTCAATATAGATGCCAAGAAATTTGGTATTTATTTTATTAAAATTAACTCTACTTTAATTTCGCATGGAAAAAACCATTCTCTCCGTTTTATCCTTATTTAAAACTGATTTATTTGCACTAAACCAGTGTTCAGCCTTTTCCTGTGCGATCCTGGATCTCTCCAACGTGTTTCCCCAGAAACAGACACAGTGGTGTCATCAGCAAAGTGTGTGTGTGTAAATAGATGTAGGATCTACAAGGGGAAGGCGATTTATATATATATATATATATATATATATATATATATATATATATATATATATATATATATATATATATGTGTGTGTTCGAAGTGTTTTCGGAGCGCGAGCATTGAAGATGCCAAGTGAGATTTTGGCGAAACGTCTGCAGGATTCCAGTCGGATGCAAGATTTGCAGGATTCCAGTCGGATGCAGGATTACAGTCGGAGTTCAACGAGCGAACGGATGATATCCCGGAATATAGTGTCATCATATATATACATATATATATATATATATATATATATATATATATATATATATATATATATATATATATATATATATATATATATATATATATATATATATATATATATATATATATATATCCTCACGTATTGATTCACGGATGGAAAAATGTGATGACACTATATTCCGGGATATCATCCGTTCGCTCGTTGAACTCCGACTGGAATCCTGCATCCGACTGGAATCCTGCAAATCTTGCATCCGACTGGAATCCTGCAGACGTTTCGCCAAAATCTCACTTGGCATCTTCAATGCTCGCGCTCCGAAAACACTTCGAACACTGGGAGGTTATCGGCGGTGCGTGCGGTATTTATACTCTGCGCCGGAGATGGTAACGGTGCTGCTTGTGCGTGGGGGGAGGTGGCTCCGCCCCCTGAATTGTCGCGTTGTTAATTTCGCCCGATCGTAGTTGCGATGTTCCCGTTGGCTGCTGCGCATCACTCTGCTGTTTGATTATCGTTCTCCACGTGTTGGATAAATGCAGAGCGTCGTCTCTCGTATTGAGGTGTCCGGACTTTTCTATTTCGATGGCCTCTCGTATAATCCTAGTCCTAAAATCAGGAATATTAGCTATTTGTTTGCAAGTGCCGAAATCAATTTTGTGGCCTGTCTGATGTTGGTGCTGAAACAAAGCAGATGTTGTTTGTTTGTTTCTTATGGCTAAACGATGTTCCTCGAGCCTGGCTGAAATCCTTCTGTTGGTCTGTCCCACATACGTCAGGCTGCACGATCCGCATGCTACACTGTATACTCCTTGGTTTTCCAGAGTAATTTTTTGTTTTGGGTTTCTTAGTATTGCTCCGATGGTATGGTCAGGTTTGTATGCCGTTGATATGTCGTGTTTCCGTAATATTCGGCCGATTTTGTCAGTAACCCCCTTGATGTATGGCAGGACAGCGATCGATCTTCGTTGGGTCTCGTCCTGCACTCTCTGCTGCGGCTGTTGTTGTTTACCGATTGCCTTGCTGATGGTGCGCCTTTGGTATCCGTTTTGTTGAAAAAAAATATATATATATATATATATATATATATATATATATATATATATATATATATATATATATTCTCACGTATTGATTCACGGATGGAAAAATGTGATGACACTATATTCCGGGATATCATCCGTTCGCTCGTTGAACTCCGACTGGAATCCTGCATCCGACTGGAATCCTGCAAATCTTGCATCCGACTGGAATCCTGCAGACGTTTCGCCAAAATCTCACTTGGCATCTTCAATGCTCGCGCTCCGAAAACACTTCGAACACAGTGTTGGTATGGTATCACCGCAATCGCTGCACATAGACCGGAACCTATCTAAAAAAAATATTTTCTATTTTTTGAGAAACAGTTTCTAAAAAAGTATTATATGTAAGCCAACATATTTTTTTTAGTTATACTACAAAGCAGTAGCATTAAAAATGTAATATTCTTATCTGCATATGAATCTGAAGAATATTTTAGAACATATATACCGTTTTTCTATAAAACGGTTAATGCCAGTCGCCAGGCCGCGCGTGTATGACGTAAGCAGTCGGGCGGAGCTAGTGGAATTGGAGTAGGGGTAAAGGGGAATCGCTCGCCGAGGAACGCGGGCGACAATTTCACACCTGTATAGAACACAAAAAGCAAAATATGAGAAAATAAAAGTAATTCACAACAAAAAACGTATTTTTGAAGCTGAAACAGTTCTGTTTTATTTCTTCTTGTAAGAGTTGGAAGGTGGTGTTGAGAAATACACTATTCGAAACTGATGAATGTAAGAATAATGATAATATTTGTTACAATAATAATAAATAAAATAAATATATACATTAAGGACTACATCATTAGTTGGGCGATATGCATCGTTGGTGTTATGCAACCCCTAAAGCAAACAACCAGTCCTACATATAAAGTAATTATTCTATAATAACAAGGAATGGGCACCACTGGAACAAAATAATATAAATAATAACTGGTGAAAAACTGACTACCTGTATAGAAAATATTACAAGTAATATAAAAAATATATAAAAAGAAATATAACAAAAGTGTATAACAAATTTACGAAGAAAAATTATAAGCAACTCTATTTTACGTAGATATTCGATATATGTTGTCAACAAAGTGTTGTATAAGTTTTTGTTGAAATGTTATTAACGAGATGTCTGATCACAGCTAAAGCAGCGTTTAAATTCGGCTGAATTATGCTTAAAAATAGCGAACACCCAGAGTGGTTCATCCAGCACATTGAATTACGTTGAATATTGAATACTCAATAATGTAACAATATATTATGTTGAGCAGCCGTCGGATTTTAACTACTCCGACCCTGTACTTTAAACTGTTTGTTTTATTGGATAATTTACAATATTATCTATCATTGTGAGATGCATAGTCTAAATGAACTAGAGCTGTATAATCAAAAAATATTTTGATTATTTTTATATATTTGTAGATTTTCATAGAAATTTCTCTTATATGTTTGGCGCAAAAGTTTTGTGTGGTGTAAAGTGATTATTTTGTTTATGTGTTTTATTAGAAAATAAATGATCTACCTACTTCTGTTCATCCTCACTGCTGCACTAGCAGCTAGGCAATTTTACATAAAACGATTCAAATACTGGACGGAGAGGGGCGTACAACAAACCAAACCATGGATATTTTTCGGCGACGTATTAAGCACGTCCTTCAGGAAATTATCGCTTGCCGAATGGGGTGACTGAATCTACAAAATGTATCCAGATGCAAGGTATGATTTTTTCTTAGTGACACTGTAACGTTTTATTCGAACCTTTACTCAAAACAATGGTAACATGGTCTCAAATCAAACTTGGAGATCACTCACTCTCCTTTCGCAGTTCCAATTAATTATTTATTTTTGTTTCGTTTATGGTTTAGTTTCTTAATACGGCAATTATAAAATGTAAATTTTCCCGGGATCACGAAACTAGTGGACTACTTAAAAGCTACATCGTTCAGATAAATTACAATTATCGTTATTAAAAATTGCGTAAGTATAATTATAGAGATGGGCAAAATTTATATTGCAGTAAGAGTAATATGAACACAGATGCATTATATTAGTATTTTAAATAACACTATTTCTAATATAACTTCATTAGCAAATTTTATTCACTGTATTCCGAGAAGTCAGATAAATTGTAGTCGTTAGAGTCCAGAGAAATAATAAGGGGTTCTTTTTTCTATATAGAAATCACATGTTAGATTTACTTTTTTCACAATCCACTATAAGCAAGGGGGTTCAACGTCTAGCATTTTAACAGTGGTGTTATGCCTTCCTTCAAACCTTTTTATTCGGGCCCACCATTGGAGTTTAACTCACAGTGACATGGCGGAAGGGAAAGAGACGTTTTCTTTCTTTTTCAAGCGGTTTCGTCGACGATAAAGAGGTTTAATTACATTTACAATCTCCATATCTTTCTGAAATGGCTTCTTAAATATAAAAAACGAATGAACGATGTCATTTATTTTGCAAGAAGTCCTGGATTTTCTTTCGGATTTTCAAAGGAATAAGATCTAGGATTTGCTGGGAGTAGAATTGAAAAACTTCATGATAGTCTCCAGTACATTTTGATTGAAAAAGTAAGCCAAAACCTATAAATTCATTTTGCTAATATGGAAGGTATTTCTGGGATTTTAAATTTGGATATTGCCAATCGTTTTTTAGTATAATTAAACCTATCACCATCAGTCCACTGCACAAATAATTAATGTACAGTAATATTGGCGTTTTTGTAAGTAGGTTAACGTTGAAAACTTCTTGTTGAATAAATCCTCTACTGATAGAAGTTTCGTACACAGCAACACATCAAGTGACCAATGTTATGTAAAATAACTTTTTCGAAACGCACAGTAAAAAAGATTATTCAATACTGCCACAAATGATCAACACTTATGTACCCATCGTTAAAGTTTTACTGGAGGGTTTCCGTCGAAAGCCAATATGATGAAGATTGAGATAGATTATACGTGAGTGATCTAGGCTGCAACTTCACTAGTATCATCTTCTTTAAGGTACGTCGGGTTTGATCAATTTCACAAACCCACCCTACTGATAAGAGATCCGGAATTATTAAAGCAAATCACGGTTAAGGACTTCGACTCGTTTATGGACCACTCTCCATTGTTTTCAGATCAATCTGATCCGCTTTGGTTCAGAAACCTAATTGCCTTGAGAGGTAAACGCTTAGACAATCATAAGCCTTCCCTAAAACTGCGAATTTTAGGTAAAAATTGGAAACACATGAGGGATATCCTTTCCGCTTCGTTTACCAGCAGTAAAATGAAGTACATGTTCAGTTTGATCTTGGAGGCAGTCGATGATTTTACCGATTATTTCGTCGGAAAGAACAAGGAGTTTATAGAAGTGGAATTGAAGGATGTGTTCACGAGGTATAGTTTATTCAAAATGTCGCTAATCAAAAGGTTTATATATATATATATATATATATATATATATATATATATATATATATATATATATATAATATTGTTACTAATTTTATTCCATTTTATACAAATATAAAAGGAGCAAAACACATGAGATGGAGATTACTAGGTAATTATAACGAATAATTTAAGTTTCGAAAAAAGAATAGTTTATTTCGATTTTTAGTTTTCAATTTAAAACACGGCTTTGGAGGTTGGAACAAATTCTTATTTCGTATGGAATCTGCGTTTTGGTGGTGGGAACAAAATCAAATTTTGAAATAAGCCTAAACAGGATGGCTTTCACTTCCAAAATGGCGAATCTAGATCCTACACAAGCTCGGGGTCCTACGCCGAAAGGAAAGTAGGTGTAGGGAACTATATTGTTCTTGTTTTCCTCTGAAAATCTCTCCGGATCGAATTTTTCCGGGTTCGCGAAGTATTTTGGATCTCTTTGAATGCTTTAGGAAGGCATAAGGACGGAATCGCCGGGGACCAAATGAACCGGTTTTTTTTGCCGACTAATTGATCAATCGATCTGCCAGAGGAGATACAGACCATTTCCTCAGGCAGAACTGATTATAAAATCCTATTTTATTTTCTCAGCCACTAATAGTCGCTGGAGACCAGAGAAACAGTTAAACGCCCCACAGTGTTTTATAGCATGTTATCAATTTCTCCCATTCTTCTACTTCAATCACATGTTCGATGCACTTGCTCCATTATCTTCCGACATTTCCACGCTCGACATTTTAAAAGTAGTGTTATGCCTAGTGACAAATCCTCTTACTTGCCGCCATATCAATTTTATAAGGTTTAATTCACAGGGATGCAACGGAAGACGACGTACCTTTATATTTAGTTTTGAATCGATTTTGTAGACAACAAATCTGGGACAAAGAGGTTTATTTAAATTTACACTCTCTAGAATGAATGACTGAATTAATGAATGATATTTTTTTCTTTTCAAGAAGGTGTGGGTTTTTTTTCGGACTTTGTTGACTGGTAGCTGCCATTATGTATGACTTTAACATACGCAAATGGAATATGATGACGTATTTGGTGGAAATGGTCTTTAAAACATCAGCATTAGTGTCTTCATGATCTCCAGTCCGTTTGACCTTTACCTTTTCCCGAAGGTGCTTTTATCCCAGTGGACCACCCTTCCATGCCATGGTTTATAATCAGTAAATGCACAAGTCAGTATATTGTCCGACTCCAGTCATAGTTATTTTTGCAACCCGGAATATTAAATTTTGGTTTACTATGATAAAAGAAGGTCCGCTACCTAACACGCTCGGGAACCCTGACAACTAAACTAGATTAGATTACATTCGATTTCACATATTTACCAATATAATTGTTTTTCACACGTGGAATGTAGAATAACAACACACTCAGACAAACATTTTAAACAATTTTAGATTGAAGATGCCGCCATGTATGAAGTAAAAAGTCATTTATGCAAATTTTTTCTTACCTTCCTTTTGAATGAGTGCAATGGTAGGAATCCTGTTTTTTCATTTTTCAAATTGACGACGATGCCGCTGAAGTCAGTCGCCTCTTTGCCACTTGGCATCTTCAGAGGCCGCGCGTTCATGTCACTCGTACATGTCCGCACTTAAACCGCAACAAACACCCGGATTACCATCAATACACATAGTTTCATCCGTGAAGAACTAAAACAAAACTATATATATATATGTATATATATATATATATATATATATATATATATATATATATATATATATATATATATATATATATATATCCGTTCGTTTGTTGAACTCCGACTGGAATCCTGCAGACGTTTCGCCAAGATCTCATTTGGCATCTTTAATGCTCGCGCTCCGAAAACACTTTGAACACCCGTTTTGATAAATTTGATAAAAATAGCGGAAGTGATATAAAAGTTATAAATGAAAAAACAGATTTTTTAAAAAAATGTAACACCCTGTATCTTGAAAAATATGCATTTTTGGACCTATGTTTCTTAAAATTTCCTGCGTGCTTTTTTAACACCCTGTATGTATATGGAACGATACCTTCTCGTTGTATAATTATTTTATTTACCTACTTATTCTTCGTGAAGGTATTTGAACATTGTTATTTGTTGATAGAACAGATTTTTTCGACTCCCATCTGTAAAATGCGTAATTATATACCGATCTAGTGTGCGGGAAGCGTTACTTTAGCACGTCAGTTTCATTTCCCAGAATCCGAACCACTTCTAACATTTCCGAAAATGTACCCAAAAACTAAGGGTCGTAGAAAAAGTATAGTATGCAACACGTTCGGTAAACTTTTTAAATCACTCGTTCAAATAAACTCGTGAGTCAATTGCCGTTTACCGGACTTGTTGCATAATATATTATTCTATAGATGTTTAAATAAAATAAAATTTATAATATAATATTGGTAGTATGTATAGTGAATAGCAGTGTGTTAATAGTTAATGACTTAAATAAATGTTAAGTTTTGTTCGTTCGAACATTTATGTCGGTTTAAAAACGTAACAATATAATTATTATTATTCTCGATTCCAATTTTCTGTTTTTTACTTTTCAATTTAGATCGAGACTGGAGAACTGCTTGTGTATTTTTTGAATTGCAACGTGCATTCTACGTTATCAGTATTCATATGCTTCTCGATCAATTGTTATTGTGTACGTGAAAATGCACTTAAATGGTAAAAATCTTTTTTGACTGATAAATGTCAAGCAGTAAAAGTTAAAGATGGTTATGCGGGGTTCCTCAGGGCAATCTCTTAGGATCTCCACTGTTTATTGCAATTAGAATATCTTTCCACTTTTTAGGGACAGCTATCTATCGTTCGCTGATGATGCGGCTTCCGCATCTGCTAGCAATAGTTTCGAAGAGCAGGGAATGGTACTAACGTCAACGTCCTTATCATGCAATCTTATTGTCGACCTAAAAATCTTATTTTGAATGAGGAGAAAACGAAGTTGCTTGTATTTTCTTGCAGGGCTTGAAACAAAAGCATTTTACTTAGATCGAATAACAAAACTATCCACCAGGGAGAAGTAGCCAGATTTCTGGGCGTCTATTTCGATTCCCAATTAACTTGAACTAATCAAACAGATCTTATTTAAAAAAAAATCTACCTATTGCAAAGTAATATCGGCATTAAGATATTTGGTTTCTATAGATTTGTTAGGTTTATATTATTTTGCATATTTTTATTCGTGTCTAAATTGTAGCATAGTATGTTGGAGAAATACGTAACGTTTCGGAGAAGTATTTGGATTGGTATTTGGAAACGAACCATAAGAACAATTTTATTTAAATGTTTAAATGTTTTTGTCTTTTCGCGATATGGAAATGCTAACTCTTTCTGGTCTTTTTATTTATAATTATAATAATATTAGAAGTGTGTTAATTGTTAAATCTAATCCTAGTAGCTATGATGCTAATTTGCATCAACAGTTAAGGAAAAATTTTAATAAAAGTAAATCCCAGGCATAAATTGTCAATAGTTGCCAACAGTCCGGTAGTTTTGCCAATAAAACTTTTTAATCATTCACCTACTTCTTTGAAACAGACACATAGCGTTGATGAGTTTAAATACGGTGTAAAAACCAATTTAGTTCGTCATGCTTTTTATAGCATAATTTTTTTTTTGATATAACAACATATTTTTGTTGTCGTTTTTTAAATTTGTTTTACATTTTAATGGTTAATGTTTGTAATATATTAGTTATTTTTTTGAGATTATCCGACACTTGAAATCATTTTAAATTTGATTTGACTTGATTGTTCAGAATTGTTTTCGAGAATTTTTTTTTATTGCCATAATCTTACAATTATGTAGTTATATACTTGATTTGCATTTTAAAAACACCCAGTGTGACAATAAATACGTGCATGCAATAAAATAATAGATAAAACAGCTTGGCTTTAAACAATAAAGCAGTAAAAATGAGTGAATATTATTTATGATAAATGGAATTTTCCATAAACATTATTTTATGAAAATTATCATTATTTCTGCTTAGCATTATAGATATGAAACATTTTATTTTTCAAAGACAAAAAGAAATTTCGTAAGGGTCGTTTTGAACATAGGGCATTATGAAAATACCAATGTTATTTCAAATGGTGTTTATTATCTTAAAATCTATGATCACATTATTAATTTATCTTAATTTCTGGCCGAATTATTGTGTATTCGTTTGAAGCCATACCAAAATCCATTTTCGGCAGTAAAATTCAGAGATTTTTTACTTATCTTCAACGGTATTTGGGTTTTTGCCGTCGGCACAACTTCATATTTCAACAGGAGGTGATACAACATAGCTTTCACTTCCAGGAGAGCAAATCTGGACCCGATGCAATTTCTTGGTCCTGACCCGAACGGTATGAATGTGTAGGGTCTAATGTTGTCTTTGTTTTCGTCCGAAAATCTTTCCGGGTCAAATTTCTCCGGGTTTGGGTAATATGCGGGGTCTCTATGTATGGCGAACATGGGTAAAAATAGTGTCGTCCCTACGGGCAAATGTAGCGCTTTCTCGCCAGAATTGACGGGCTCTATCGTGTAGGATTTAGTGCAAACTCTGTCTATTGCAACCGCAGGTGGCCACTTTCTCAATATTTCTGTAAACATAGAAATTAATAAGCATGGAAATGATTACTAACAGTTTTGTACGTAATGTCTAATAATAATAACGATTTTAATAGACCTAGTGGTTATGCAGCTACTAACAAAATGACATTCACAATCAATATCAAGATTCAGCGATTTAATTTAACGTAACAGTTTGAATATTTGAGATCCTATGAAAACTTGTTGACATTTTATGTATTTTATAATATTGTTCGGCCCTCTTTATTTAGAAATCTTTCTACTGCCAAAAGTGGGAAATTTTTATGGGGGCTGCTCTTTGTTTGCGTACATTGCTTAGGCTTTTCGATAAAGACTAATCTGACTTTCTTTGGTCATTGATATCAGATATAGCTACTAGATACTCACCCGTTACCACCATATCCAGATATTTCATTTTAAGAAGCCCGTCGTAGGTAATTTTGGGATATTCGGTTGCAGTCTTTGTAATTTCTTCGCGAAGCCTTTGCTGGACCTCTTGATTGCATGCCAACTCATGCAGGGCGAAGCACATAGCTGTGGATACCGTATCGAAGCCGGCAAGGAAGAATATGACGGCCTGTGACGTTATATCTTGGTCTGTGAGGTCTAGGCGTGGTTTTGCCGTTGTTCCTGAAAATTGTTTTTCTATTAAGTTATCCATATTGTTCCTATATCATAAGTTTCAGATAAATTTCATCTCCATATCGAATATTTATAACGCGGGAATCGAAACTAGAAACAAGAATTTTTTGCAAAATTGGTAGCTTAGGCTTATATTTTAATATATATTTATTTATAATATACGATATATTAAAGTTTCGTGGGATTTGTGAGTTTTGATATAATTTTATTGTAAAAATTTTTACTTTTTTTTCCTGTATGTGTTTTCCACGGGACTCTAAAAAAGGGATATTTTAGAAACTCGTGGTCCTTGCGAGTAATGTGGATTTTGATATAACTTTTTGGAACCATTTTTACTTTTCTTTTCCATGTTTTCAAGCGGCTTTTGCTACGGACATTATTTATTTCGTGAAAAAAATAGGATATGACGTCGAAAACAAGTAATCGTCGCTATTGACGCTATATACAGGGCGTCCCATTAGTAATGGTTTATGGCAAAATAGGAGATTCTTTGGGTAAAAATATTACGATTGTATAGAGATTTTTAATGAAGATATCACTCTTGAACCATAGATATGTTCATACGCACAAGAGAATTATAATTGATGTTGAGCTCATAGACGTTATTTGGAGCTGTTCCCAAGTCGAAGGTGCCCAGATTTTAAAATTTTTAAGAATAGACAGAACAGACTCGATGAAACTGGTATGTTCCACACCAAAAGGGATTCTCTGGGGTGACCAAAAATGATTATACCGGAGCTGGAATAGGAAATTTTATTCCAAGTAATCGAAAATACGGAAGTAAGCACCAATGACAGTAGGAACCGGAATGAGCTCATCTACAGTTTGTAGAATTTTTCACCAAGTAAAATTTTATACATATTACTTTACTTCTGTGCAATATCTTTTAGAGGATGATCCTCTAGCCAAATTTTAATTTGCTCGTTTTTGGCGTTTGTCGTTTGAGTTCGGCAAAACGCATACCCAACATTTAAAAATGAAATAATGTTTACAGATGATGCAATATTTACACGCATCCCAATTTGACAAATGATCGCGATTTCCAACAGGAATTTAAAATAAATGTTTGGTACGGAATAATTGATAATTACATGATAGGAATTTTTTGCAAACTTAATTCACCGATTATCTGGATAATCTATCTTTAGAGTTAAGAAGAACCATAAATTTCATGCATTATGGTGCTACAGCGCATTTTTCGAGACATGTTGGACAGTATCCTTATCGTTGGATTGATTTTTATATTTTTGGGTATATGAAGTCGCTAATGTATGAAGAAATTGAAACAAAATTATGACACAGGATTTAAATCCCGCCGAATCATTTTGATGCAAGGAAGTCTTAATAAACGTGTCCCTAAATGCATCACAGTGAATAGTGAACATTAATTGCAAAATAGAAATCTATTTTATGAATAGTTTTTGTATTTTACGTCAGCTTAAAATTAAATTTGTATTTACCATAAAATTGTTTTCATTGACGTCTAAGTTTTTTGTATATACTATATATATGTCAATAAACCCAAATTTTTGTACAAAATCTCGTTTATTTCACGAATTATTTTAAAAAATCAAAAAAAAAAAAAACGGGTAGCAGAGGATCGTCAAAGTGAAGTCATTTTCGACTCATAAGTCGTCGCTACTCGTGAGTGATCCGAAAAAGTCGTCAAATTATTAAAAAATGACCTCCAAATTTCTTCATAAAAGGATATGAATAATTCCACTTGATGCATTGCAGATTGTAAACTTAATAATTAACTATTATCAAAATCTTCTAGTTAAAATCATGATGTAGGAGGGCGTCCAAATTGTGTTTCAAAGTAATATATTTCGTTTATTACTTATTTTTGAGAAAAATATTAAATACAAAATAAATGGTGGATCATAAATATGTAAAATCTCAAGCTTATATTTTTAAGTAGAACTCTCTGTATATTATGACATTAATAGATACTGTCTTTTATACTAAATAACTCAATGTTGGGTTGTCATGGTCTATACTGAGTGTTTTCGGATTTACGGCCATTTTTTCATCAAAAATGCAATGTGTTAAATACCCTATATTTGTGACGCCATTTCATTTATCCTATACTTGTCTTGAAGTTAGTTCGCATCGTTAATACAGCGTTAAATAAAAAATATTAATTGTCGCGAAAAAATCACATGGAAATCCTGTATATGATACTACCGTTACTTTTTTTTAAAGAAAGGCTAATTTTTATTCATTACCTATAATCCTTCATTTTCCGCAACAGCAAAAGATGTTCTATGTAATTTAAATTGAAAATTTCTGTGCGATTTTCTTTCGATTTTCCCCGCAAAAAGAAAAAACCAATTTAAAAATCGTCATATGTTTCAGTAGAGCAAAATCAGAATTTAAGTTAACGTAAAAAAGGTTTCACTGAAATGACAAAAATTGATGACACTGTTTGACGTGAAAGACATCAGTCGTCATTCGTAGGTCAAATTTACTTCCTGCTGACGTCATATATAACGGCATTTTGAAGACCCTCTTTCCTATTTTGCCACGTACCATTACTTATGTGATATAGTTATAGCTATAGCATATAACTATGAGATAATATAAAAGCCGACAATACGGTAAAATTGGTACATTGAGTTGATAATGAAATTTGGACATATTTTGGGAAAATACTGAAAAAAAATGCCAACTGAAAACTTTTTACTTCTCTTCTGATTTATTTAAAGCCTTAACTAGACAAAGGAAATATGGTAGAAACTTAGCTGCAGAGCATCCACCAGAACCAGCTAAATGAGAAAAAGTTTGGATACCACTGATGCTTTGATACTAATTGTACATTGCCATAGCAACTTTTTTTCCTCTACTATTTCAAATTTGAAATCTTGATTTTATGCTACCGTCGTCGACTTAATTTTTCATAATAAGTATCAAATTCTTTAAATTCATTTTTTTTTAAAGGCAAAAGGGCACTTTTTTTTTTGCTTTTTTGTTATTGTTACTAATCACAGCACTATAAAAGTTAGCTTTATACCGAAGCATAAGTATCAGAATTTTCAAACTGAATTCAAATTTGCTACCAGAAAACCCAAAACCTTCCTATAACAATATGGCTGAAACTTACCCAGGTCGAATTCCTGCACTGTGGCAAATCCGGTATCTACGTTGGCGCTGACATCGTGTTTTACGCCTTTCCTGGCCTCCAGCAGAAGGTTAATCATGTCCGGGCGGACGATGCCACCTTCCTCTCTGGCTTTTATCGTTTCAGAGATGATTTGAGTGAAAAATTTTGACACTTTGGTGTCGAACAACGTTATTCTCAACATCTGGAAATGGAAATTATGGAAAATATATAATATCCAACATGCAACTTGAATAACTTACTCGGAATAGCTTAGGCACCATAAAATATCCCATAAATTTTAACATCATTTTAATACCGGAAAAATTGGTTAGTGCCCTTCCCATGTGGTAAAATTCATTGTTGGGCTCAGCCAACGAATCAACTTTAATTCCGAATGCAGCACTAGCGATTACATCGTTAGTGAACCTAAAAATTGAAGTCGTATTACCGAAGCAGAACTAAATTTAAAACATTTAATCAATTTTGCGTCACAAACAAAAACAATAATTACAATAAATATCCGTAAAATTTATAAAAAAAAACAATTTAGCTAATGAGGGAAAACTTCCAATTAAACTGTACATTTTACGAAAATATCTAAACGTTTAAATTACTAATAAGGTGTTGTCAAAATTAATAAATATATTTATGAGAAATATAATGTTTAATAAATTATGTACCCAATACAATTTCGATTGTGGTTACCTGGTAAAAGTTTCTTTAACTTCAAGCTCGATAACATCTTCTTTTTTCGTGTCGAAATATTTAACAAAGTTCTCACACGTATCGCCAATCAAATGGAACATAAATTTCATCTTGCTACTGGTAAAAGAGGCGGACAAAGTCGCCCTCATATCTTTCCAAGTTTGTCCTAAAATTAATCGACTTTTGAATTTAAGTTTATCACAAGAGAAACATGCGCATTACCTCTCAAAGCGAAAAGGTTTTTGCCCCATAGTGGATCAGATTCGGGATCAACGAAAGGTCTGTGATCTGTAAAATGATCGAAATCTTTGACGGTCAATTGTTTGATAAGCTCTGGATCTCTAATGAGTAACGTGGGCAGGTAAAATTGGTACATACCAGAATACCTAGAAAAATCATTTTCTTGGTTATCTATCCATAGATATAATGTTAAATAGGCCATGAATGATTTATTCAAGCAATAATTTTGATAGAACGCTCCCTAAAAATGTATTAAAACAAGCTGCAGAAATGCCCGAATATTCCCAGGACATAACTCGATTACAGATTAACCTAAGCGGAGAACTTTTGGTAACCTACCGTTCGTTGGGAAACATGTTATAGAGCCATATTATCATTTCATCGAAACTTTTCCGTCTGAAGAGGGTGACCCAATTGTCGCCCAAAAAAAGCCACGGGTTGCTTTGTTTTACCCCGAGATCTCTCCAGTAATGTAATGGTTTAATCAGAAAGTACCAGAAGAGAATACTAAGCACAGTGCCAGCTAGTATGATGGTTATCATGGTGGAAAGCCTCAACCTAAAAAAACAGCTGATTTAATTCCCATTTTAAAGGTAGAAAATTTTATTTTTAGTTATAGGATTACAAGTTATAATAGCAAATTATATAAATGTTGAAGAATATTCATTCCAAAATTACAGAAGCAACAACTAAATTGACATGTTATTCATTACTGCTTTGGATAATCAGGTTTGTAACACTAGTTAATTACTAGCCTACTCCATTTGAAACTGCGCTGTTTTTAGAGATCCCGACAGCCAGGTTAGTTTTGGTTAATATGAAATAAAGTACAACATTCATTTAAGAAGAATTAAAATGGGCAAAAATCGATTGAGGGAGGAAAGTGGAATAGTCCAAACGGGAGACAGTGAAGTCACTGGACATTGGTTAATATTTGCCTGTTAGTTCAGTCATTTTAGAAGAGCAAAGGAAAGTGTCAAAAAGAAAACAAGAAGAACCAAGAAGAAATAAGTGTATTAAGGTTATGAATTAATCAAAGAGATAACGATATTGCTGAAATCGTTCAATTCACTAAGTCGTATTTTAAAGAACTTGATAAGTAATACTATAAAAGTTTTGATGAATATGTTAAACCTATTAAAGACGAAAAGTGACAAGTTAAAACACACACACACACACACATACACACGCATAGTTAGGCAGGCAAATCTACTGACGATTACCTGATTAACCTGACTTTAGCTCAAGCAGATAGAAATAATGATCAAGCTACAATTTTAAGTCAATGAAAAGACCTCCTTCAATGCTTTTGCTAATGGGCTACAATATAGTTATATAATATAATATTTATCGACTACCTTTTTCTACAATGTAGAGAGTAAATATGAATGAATATATACACATAATTTGTAGATCAATATTTCGTAAACTAAATTTATTAACGTTCCAATTTCGATTATTTTAACTTCAGTCGTGCATATATAAAATAAAATGTCAAATTATTCCGAATCCAAAAAAGGCCAATATGATTTTAGAGCAAATTTAAATTTGATCTTTCGTGGGCACCGACTTGCTAATGTAGCAAATAGTATAAAATTCTTTTTTACAAAATAGATGACTATCTAAATTGCAACGTCTCTAACTTCTTTCCTTAAAATACCTATTTAATTATTTTTTCTACTCTGTAAAATACCTAATTACCCACCGATCTAGCGTGCGGGAAGCTTTACCACGTCAGTTTCCTTTCCCACGAATCCGAGCCACTTCGGTCATTTCCGGGATTTTACCGCACGAATTATGGAGCAATCGGATGTTTTCGGGGATATTTCCCACGCTTTTAATTTTGACGTTTGTCAATTCTGACGGTCATGTCAGTGAATGTATTCGTGTTGTTTTACAAAAATGTACCCAAAAACTAACGGTCGTAGAAAAAGTATAGTATGCAACACGATCGGTAAACTTTTTGCAGTTTACCGCACTTGTTGCATAATATACTATTTTCTACTCTCTTCTATAACTTTACCACGATATTACAGCACTGGTTTCCCAAAAAACTCGTATGTTTTCGGAGATTTTACAGCACGGCTTGAATTTTGAAGTTTGTCAATTCTGACGGTCATGTCCATAAATGTATTAGAGTTGTGTTGCAGAAATGTACCCAAAAACTAAAGGTCATAGTAAAAAAACAGTGTATGCAATACGTTTGGTATTCTTTTTAAGTCGCTCCGTTATTAAACGCTAGGGCATATACGTTTTTTGGTCAAAGGCTGTACAACTTGCAATGAGTTTACCTAGCTCTGGAAGCACGCGAATGTAATTCCCACCCCAAAAAACGATAATGTAAGTGAACTGTCAAGATTTCGGCCAATAAGGCTATTACCCGTGCTTTCAAAAATTCTGTGAACAGCTAATAAATATTTCTCTTAGTTCGAAGTTATCCCTTCAACACTGTCTGGTACAGCTACTGCCTTTCTAGCGATAAAGGAAAGGAAACCTGTCTTATACTTCTAGACTACAGCAAGACTTCTAAATCACGAGATTCTTTGTACTAAACTCCATTTCTCCAATTTTAGCAAGCTGGCCATGTGTCACATTCAAAGCTATTTGAGTGAACGAAGTCAGAGATCATGTTCAGCATTTTCTAATATTACTCCGGGGTTCCGCAGTAGAGAATAATGAGAGCCCTATTGTTTTCAGTCTACACCTCGGATCTTGCTGACCATTTAAAATATCTGAAATCGCATGAGTTTGAAAACTCACTGCTGGCCAATAGCCAAATTAATTCTGATTTGTGAGTTGTTTAAAAAATTTCCTGTGCTCTGCACTTCTGATAAATGAAACGAAAACTAAGGTATTATTTTTTGGTCAAAACTCTAGTTCGATCAAGAATATTGGTTTTAAGATTGTTGTAAATAATGAGAAATTTAATATGGCCAATTCTTGCAAGAATTTGAACTTCAGTGAAGTGAAGTTAGGGGAAACTAAGAACTCTATATATATTCAAGGACCTTTTAAATACATACATCAGACTAAAGTTATGGAATTCTTATTCTTTTTCTTTTAGCTATTATTATTATTATTTATATTATTGTTATCATTACTATTAATATTACTATCATTTTTATTATCATTATTATTATTATTGCTATTATTATTATTATCATTATTATTATTAAACACTCGCTCCGCTGTCCTCCGCCCGTTCCAAATAAACTCGTGACCCCAGTGTCGTTTACCACACTTGCTGCATAATATGCTATATTTTTAGGTAACTATTTAAAGCAAATTCTTACAACTGATATTATGTTCCACTTTGCAAAAATCGGTGAAAATAAAAATTGCTGGTCAAATATACACGGTGTCCCATTTAAAAAATGAGCATTAAGACTTTAATTTACGGGACAAACAACTTTACAACTCTACTAATCTAACGGAAAATATAGGCAACTTTCAAAATTACAAAAATTATGCACACTAGCCACTGGAAACTTGTACCTCACATGAACAAATTTTGAGTCACAGCAACTAAAAAATTTTACCTACATTAAATAAAACCTATACATTTTTTATTTTAACCAAGCTCATGCAGTGTTAAAACAATCTGTTATTAAGTACAAATCAAAACTAGTGAACCGCTTTCTTCAAAGTTAAAAGAAAACCGCGCACTAGCCACTAGAAAATAAAACAAGTGAAATTTAAGCGCCTACAAATAAATATGAACAAAAAAAAATAAAGCAAAAATATTCTCATTTGAAAGTCTACTTGATAAACACAAAACCTTTTTGTTTTATTCTTTCTTCTTATATTTTTTTATAAACTTCAACAAAATTCATAGTAATTTTATGTTCTGCAATTTTTGCAGCTTGACTTAAATTTGATTGAAAATTAAATGTTTAGGAGCAAAAAAATAAAGAACTCCTCATTTATGAGTCCATTTGATGAAAAAAAAACCGTTTTGTTTATTTTCTTTTACTTGCATTATTTTATTAGCTTTAAATAAATTCATATAATGGAGAAACTGGCAGCTTGCTAGTGCGACCACCAAAAATTTATCAGAAAATTTTCAGTTGAGCAATTTTTATAACTTAACAAATCGCAAACTGCATTAATTTAAAAAGGCTGAACAATATTACACCACAAGTCCCATTAATCTACTTGAAAAATGTATCAAATCTCCGTGACTACTTACGTGTACTTTGTCTTCCTAGGTATATCAGGCAACGAACTGATAGAAATGTTTATTAATTTCAAAAACAATTTCGGTAACCTTGACAAAAATCACAGTAATTACTTTCAACTGCGCACTGCACAGTCAACTGGCAAATAAGCGAGAATCTCCTGTGATATATAAACAAAATTTAAAGTAGAATTAGACATTAGATAAACGCGGAATTCTATGAACAGGTTTGTATTGAGGTTGCGTTGTTGCAATATTGTAGGAATAAGGAAGATATTCTCTATACCTATTCTATCTGCGGTACATCACTGCCCTAATTTCTCATGCGCTGCATTAAGATTTTCTTATCTACATATTATGCCCGCTCTCTTCTCTAAAACAGCTCTTTACTCTCGAGGAAATGTCTGGGACTTTTAAACGACTGCCCTCTAGTTGTGTGCATCTGGTTGGGAGAAAAATTCCTCCCATTCTAACACAGTCTACATGTCTACATGTGCTGTCTCACCCACCCCCAAGATATGAAGTTGCCTTTTTAGATAATATTATCGTATTCTGTTAGGATAGGACTTAGGACAATGAGATTTGCATTGCGCAAGTTTTGTCAATGTTTCTCAACTGTCAAATAGGACTTCTTAGTACACCCTTACAGAGTTAAGGGTCTGGATAGATGTGCTTGTCCAAATATCCTCTATTAAGGTTCTCGTGAGCACACAGCCAGGGTAGGTCCTCAGAAGTACAAATATCTGTATGTTAGGAGAGCTTCCATATACAGCAGTTCCAGTGTCTGGTTTGGACCTGTTCGTGTACCGGCCTAGCCCACAAGACACGAGAATATTTTCTCCACCACAGGACCAGTTGCCCTTTGTAGTGATCCTCCTTCTGTAGAATGTATGAAAGCATAAGGCAGGCTCCATCCTTTCCCTCTCGATAAAGAGGATATGACAGAAAATATTACGGATATGCATGTTGAGACGATAAAACGATAATTCTTGAAATTGTATAAATTCACGTTTTTCGATATCAAGAGATTAAATATGGGAGATTGTAAATCTTGATATTTTTCATAACTTTTTATCTTGTACATCGGTGGTTAAATTGGTTTCAAAGTCTAAAGGGTAAACTCTTTAATTTTATTTATTTATTTTGTTTATTTATTTAGCGTATGGCATTACATGCAATGTATAATACAAGTACAGATCTAAGAACAATCACGAATAATTACACAAATGTAAAAAGATAAAAGCTATAATTCAATGTCAAGGTTTGTTATCCATTCGAACGCCGATGCAGATACCTCCATAAAGTCAAGCCAGCTTCCCGTGTATAAGCGTAAGGGACACTCGCTATGAATATGCTGGATGGTCTGTCTTGGTGCTCCACAGTCACATTCTGGTGATGCTGTTGTCCCCCATCGGTGTAACGAGTCCGTGCACCTTCCATGTCCGGTGCGTACCCGGTTCAGGGCTGACCATTGCTTTCGGTTTAGGTCGGTTCCCGTGACGTTGCAAGTTGCGAACCAGTTTTGAAGAACATCACTTGCTTTCAAACTCCAGTCGCACTTCCATTGGTCTTTGGGATCATAGCCATCATTTTGGAGTGCTTCAGCCAGATATAATGACGGTTTCCTGGATTTTAGTCTTCCGTGTCTCAGTTGTGGGAGATCTTTATGAATTGGCAGTGCTGCGTTTAGGATAATTTTTCTATATTCGCGTAGAAGGGCCTCATTTCTACGCATTTATGCCGGTAATATGTCGCATAGCACTGGCAGCCAGTATGTAGGTGTAGACTTAATAGTACCGGATATCAGCCTCATTGTGCTATTTAGTTGTCTGTCAACAAGCCTGGAGTGACAGCTATTGATCCACACTGGAGCGCAGTATTCGGCCACGGAGAACGCAAGGGCAAGCGAAGAAGTGCGTAGTGTTGTTGCAGTTGCGCCCCAGGTGGTTTCACATAATTTTTGGATTATGTTATTTCGGGTTGCTATCTTCGCTGCGGTATTCTCCAGGTGTTGCCGATAGGTGAGCGTGCGGTCCAAAGTCACTCCCAAATACTAAGGGAGCCTGTTTTGATTCAAAGTGGCATCCCCCAGCTGCACTTCTATTCGTGCGTTTGCCATTTTATTATTAAGATGAAATGTTGATGTTTGTGTTTTGGCAGGGTTTGGTATTAGTCTCCAATTCTTAAAATATGTATGTGGTCTGGCAAGGTCGTTGTTGAGAATGGTTTCTGCCGCGTCAAGAGATTTGTGCCTAATAGCCAGTGCTATGTCGTCCGCGTAGCAGAATTTTTTCCCCTCTGTGGCTGGAAGATCTGATATGTAAAGATTAAACAAAAGGAGAGCCAAGACAGACCCCTGCGGGAGACCATTATTTATTATCTTGGTGTGGCTAATTTTGTCGTCGAGGACCACATTGAAGCACCTATTGCTCAGCATGTTTTGTATTAGACGGGCTGTTGTTTGGTATGTTATGGCTCTCAGAAATTTGTAGTTCAGTCCCTCCCTCCAGACCGTATCATAGGCTGACGTCAAGTCCAAGAACACAGCGGCTGTTTTTAGTTTTTGTTGAAAACCCGCTTCTATGTACGACGTCAATGCCAGCATCTGGTCACAGCAGGTGCGGCCCGGTCTAAATCCTGCTTGCTCAGGAGGCAGGGATCCCGTAATGGTGCTACCAATTCTGTTAATATGAAAGTCGTTCTCGTGGATTTTTTGTAGGAATATACATTCTATAGTAGGTGTTTCAATATATTTTCAATACAAGTTACCCAACCGCAATAAAAAGTTCTTAAAAACTTTTCAGCGATTGTAATTATAAAAGTGTGTAAATCTTGTGTGTGAATATGCACACAGGTTGACAAAAGAGATTTTTTCTACTCCCGCCAGTAAAATATCTAATTACACAACGATCTAGTGTGCGGGAAGCGTCCTTTTTTCACGTCAGTTTCGTTTCTCACGGATCCGAGCCACTTCGGACATTTCCGCGATTTTACCGCACGGATTTGGGAGCAATCGGATGATTTCGGAGATATTTCGCACGCCTTGAATTTGACGTTTGTCAATTCTGATTCGTGTTGTTTTGCGAAAATGTACCCAAAAAATAACTGTCGTAGAAAAAGTATAGCATGCAATACGTTCGGTAAACTTTTTAAATCACAAAATCAAATAAACTCGTGAGTCAAATGCCGTTTGCCGTACTTGTTGCATAATATACTATTATCCTAATCGAACTAAACCTAAGCTTGATAACCTTATAAGGTAAACAAGTAAAAAAGCTAATTAAAGAATAAAATAAACTACTGAGAACGTTTTGTCGATTATAATTATAGACCTGACAACTAAAAGTTTTTCATTTTATTTTTTGTCAAACAGAGTGTAGACGTTTGGAAGAGATTTCTTTATTGTTTACTATTAAACTTTAAAAAAATATCTCATTGGGAACCATCCATTTCTTCTTTTTTGGCAGTCACGTTCTATTTTTTTTTGTCCCACCAATTATCCGGACACAGTGGTTCTGTATGTGCTAAATGCGTTGGTTATAATATAAATATTAATAATAAATAAATAATAAACATCTCTCCTGGTCGATTGTGCGCCAAGCATTATGTCATAGAACCAATTAGTCCGTAAGAAAACCCGGTTTATCCTGTTCTTATTTATTTCTATAGCATTCACAAAGATTCGAAATATTTCCGGGATCCGAAAAAATTCGGTCCAGAGATTTCCAAAGGGAAACAAGAACATTCCTACACCTGCCTTCCTTTCGGCGTAGGAATAATGAATTCATTATGATGAAATATTACATAGGATTTAGATTGACCATTTTAGAAGTCAAAGCCATCCTGTTTAAGCTCATGTCAAAATTGGAATTGTTCCCACCCCAAAACGCAGATTCCTATAGTTTTGTCTAAGAAATCGTTCAATTTGTTGGCTCAAGGTGGTTTTTGGATGGGTATAAAATGGCTCAATGCGGAATAAGAATTTCTTTCAACCTCTAAAGTCATGTTTTAAATATAAAGAAAACCACGAAGGCAAATAAACTATCAAAATAGAAAAAGGCGAACATATAAATGTGTTAATGGTGTATTCCAGTTGTTCGATTATTTGAAATTTATAACTATCTAACTTAATGTTGTAATGTGGATCGCCTTTATTATTTATTATTGTATGATTATTTTATTTACCAAGTTATTCTTACTTAAATTATTTAAATATTATTATTTGGCGATCAAACAATATTTTCATCAAATGTTTTTATAAAATATAATTTATAATAATTTAACTTCTTCAATCTTCAAAAATCGCATAACAATTCATTTACCGGATAATATTTTAGTTTATCTAACTTAGATTGTAATTTTTTTTAAAAAAGATTACTAACAAAATTCGTTTTTAAATTTCATTTTGCAGCCCACATAATAAATTTGATATAATAATAATAATTATTATTATGGTAACAATAATAGCAATAATAATAATAATAATAATAATAATAATAATAATAATAATAATAATAATAATAATAATAATAATAATAATATTAATAGATAGATAGATAGATAGATAGATAGATAGATATCGTTTATTGACCACCTATAAATACATGCATTTGTGAATTCGAAACTCAGTAATATAACAAAATAGAAATAACAGCACCAATAACAAAAAGAAGAAAATATAAATACAACAAGAATTTGATAAATTTAACAAGAAATAGAAAAAATAATATGTATATAAACATATGTTTATAGAAAAAAAAATTATAAATAAAAATATTTGCTTGAGTTAACAGTATACACTATATTCTTGGGAAATGCGATAGAAATTCCTCAACTGAGTAAAAACCATAACTGGAAAGATAGCTTCTAACCGATAACTTAAATTTTCTTATCGTAAATTGCTTAGCGTTAGCTTTATACAAGCGGTTATAGTTGTTCACAAATATGTTATATATGTTCAAATTTAGTTTATTTTTCTGAGTAGTGGCTAATCTAGACTTAAGTAGAACAATATTGCTAGATCCGCGTGTGTCGTAGCAGTGGTAGTCACCATGAGTAGGATACCTCTGCAAACCAGCATGGACCTTCAGAAGGTTGTAGTATATGAATAGGGAAGGCAGAGTTAGAATCTTAAATTTAATAAAAAGCTCTCGACAATGTGCTCCAGGAGGAGCCCCTTGGAGAATGCGAACTGCTGCCTTCTGAAGCCGAAAAACCCGATCAGCATCTGAAGAGTTACCCCAAAGAAGCACGCCATAGGTCAGATGACTGTGAAAGAGTGCAAAGTAGATAGTCTTTAAGGTCTTCTGCGAAATGCAGTCTTTTAATTGCCTTAATGCAAAGATTTGAGACGAGAGTTTGGAACATAGATACTCGATATGAGCCGACCAGGTTAGGGATATATCGAGAAAGATACCTAGAAGCTTAGCAGGCTGTGGCTTTACAGCTCTTTTGTTGGATGTTATTAGCATTTTTTTCGTCTTCGATGTGTTAAGCTTAAGTTTATTGGCGGCGAACTATTGGTCGACCGCCTGAAGATCAGCGTCAGCCATCACCTTCAAAGTCGCAATATCCTTGTCCGAAGAGATCAAGGTCGAATCATCGGCAAATAGAATGCAATTCGCCGTATCGACGGCCTTTACCAGATCATTAATATAAATTAGAAACAGGAGGGGACCGAGGATGGATCCTTGGGGAACTCCCCTATTAACCGTTACCATATTAGACTCGGTAACATATACATATTCATTAACTGCCATTTCCTCAATACTAATATGCTTTGGGAAGCAACTAACTCTTATTTACTTTAAAATGTGGTTCAGTCAACAGGTGTTGCTATTGGTGTTGTAGTGAACATTCATTAACAATAATTGACAATGCATCGTATCACTATGGACTTATTCAGTCAATATCAAGTCTCTCATCGAGTGACTGCAAAAATATTTTAGTGAAACAACACTAGCCAGAAAAACAGCACCGGTATTATATTTCTTTAATATAAAATTGGCTCAAAATATAATCTTTTAAGTTAGCAAGTTTGCCAATTGCTAATTTAATACAATGCCATGGTTGGGTGAGATTATAAACGGAATTATAATGGCAAAATAGGTTCTATGAAGCTCGGAATATCTGATGTTCTTCTTTGCTGTTTGCGTTATGGGTTAGGGTTGTTTTCGTTGTTGAAGCATTGGGAGATTTTCAAAAATGAACCTACCTAATTCATATTTATTTTCCCCCATAGGTTTAAATCGTTTTATTTTGTCCGTTCGCATTAATACGCCATAATCTGATTATAACACAGTAATAAAATGTACTTAAATACATGGCATTTTTTATGAATATAACGCGATAACGTCCGCGTTGCAAAAACCTTTACAAAATTTTAATTTAGTCTTTAGGATTAATAAAAATAATAGTAATAATAATAATGATTATGATTATAATTATTATTATTATAAAAACGTTTATTTTATCCAATTCATAAAAAATGAAACGTATAAATTTTTATCCTTTAATAAACATTAAAGGAAATCACTTAAACTAACGATTTCATTAAAATCGGGATTCATCTAGAAATGGTACCAAGATATACGGACCATTTTTGATTACGTTACGTAAATGTTTGCAAATGACATTTTCAAAAACTAAAACTAGCAAAAAAAAAGAGAAATATTATAAACAATCCCTTATGTACTGGCTGCACTTGCCAGACAATTCCAGTTCTTTAGTTTTCTTTTTTTAACTAGTTCATTGTTTTTAGTTTGAGAGTTAGAAGTAAAAATAATAGCTTTACCTACCGACCTGTAAGTAAAGAAGTTGTAAATCGACATATTTTGATAATATTGTGTCGAGCGAGCCGAATGAGCTGAGCCCGGGCCTGGTCCGGCTCCGTCTGCTTTCCAAAAACATCGTCACTTTTCAATAATGTTCCAGCACTATCGCGAGCAGGTGCTGCTATCGTTAGTTAGTTAGTTAAAAAGAAGGACCGAAACACGCAAATCGGGACGCTATATTGGTGTTTAGCGAATAGCAATGTGAATGTTAAGTTTCGTTATGTTTTACGCGGAGTGACTTGTTTAATTTCGACAAACCAGAACAACTTTTGTCGGTTTTAAAACGTAACAATATTATAGTTGATTCCATTTTTATATATTGTATTTTTTCGTGCGACCAATTAATTTTATTGCTATTTTGTTATATTTGTCAAACCAGGCGTGAATGTTTAAATATGTTTTCAAGAATGTTTTTTTATAATCTCTCAAATATGTAGGTACATATTTGATATACATTTTTAAAGCACCCAGTGTGACAAATATGTGCATACTAACTGTCCCAACATTTGACAATAGTTCGATTAAATGCCAAAATATTTGAGAATTTTGTAATTAAATTGTTTTGGGAAATTGTGCTAGTCAAGAAGTACTTCGACTTTATAGTGCGATGAATAATCGTTGTTCAGTGAGTTTTTAAACAATAGGCAACAATAAACAACAAGAATGTGTAAATGTTATTTAAGATGAATGAGATTTTCCATAAACACAATTGAATAACATCATCATTTGCTCCTTTCTTCAGAGAAAAAACTAAATTGTTATTGTCAATTATTTTTATTTTCTTAAAATCTAAGATCACATTATAATTTATCTTAATTGCTCTCCTGAATTATTGTGTATTCGTTTGATGCCATACCAAAAACCGTTTTCGGCAGTAAAATTCAGAGATTTTTTGCTGATCTTCAACGGTATTTGGGTTTTTGCCGTCGGCACCACTTCGTATTTCAATAGGAGGTGATACAACATAGCTTTCACTTCAAGGAGAGCCAATCTGGATCCGATGCAATTTCTAGGTCCGGACCCGAACGGTATGAATGTGTAAGGCCTAATGTTGTCCTTGTTTTCATCCGAAAACCTTTCCGGATCAAATTTCTCCGGGTTTGGGTAATATGCGGGGTCTCTGTGTATGGCGAACATTGGTAAAAATAGCGTCGTCCCTACGGGCAAATGTAGCGCTTTCTCGCCAGGATTGACAGGCTCTATCGTGTAGGGCTTAGTACAAACTCTGTCTATTGCAACTGCAGGTGGCCACTTCCTCAATATTTCTGTAAACAAAAGAATAAAGCAAGAATTTAGCATAGAAACGAAACTCCAAAAACACCTAATGGCTCCGCAGTCATTAACAAAATTACATTCACATTTACAAAAATCAATATTCAGTGGTTTAGTTACAGTTTGAACCACATTTGAGGTTATGAGAACATTGGGTGCATTTTGATATATATTCGACGCTCTTTTCTTCCTGCATAAACTCGAAAGCTTTACATTTGAAAAACGTTTCTACTACCAAAAGCGCCTAGTGCCTAAAATTTTAAATGTTTTTATCGTTTCTTTAGATTTAATTTGACCTTCTTTGGTCATTGATACCAGATATAGCTGTCAGATGCTCACCCGTCACCACCATATCCAGATATTTCATTTTGAGCAGCCCGTCGTAGGTAATTTTAGGATATTCGCTTGCAGTCTTTCTAATTTCTTCGCGAAGCTTTTGCTGGATATCTTGATTGCACGCCAACTCATGCAGGGCGAAGCACATAGCTGTGGATACCGTATCGAAGCCAGCAAAGAAAAATATGACGGCCTGTGACGTTATATCTTGGTCTGTGAGGTCTAGGCGTGGTTTGGCCGTTGTTCCTGAAAAGGATTCTTCTATATAATTATCAATAGTGTTGCGATCCATCCAATCGATAGACTTGAAAGTGTATTTGCAATTCTAATATCACATATTACAATTTATGCGGGTTTATTTGTTTTGATATGATTTTATTGTGAAAATATTTACTTTTTTCCCATTTATGTGTTTTTAAGTGACTATAATAAAAACTATAATAGAAACTGACCCTTCTGAGGAATTTGATTTTATTGCAAAAATTTTCCTTTTTTTTTTCATGTACGTGTTTTGGTTAGTGATCCTTTATAGCAAAATCCAGATCGGGCTATGAAGCTTTTGTTAGAGGCATTATATATACTGTGGAAAAATCGGACATGATGCCGAAAACTCTAATAAAAAGCAATTAAACGCCCCTTAAAATGCAGGTTATTTGTTACTGCCATCAACTTATTTTTTTTAAATAATAATTATAATAATAGTCTTTAATGAGATATTTTAAATTATTGCGCAAGAGTTAGACAAAAATTATTTAATGCAAACTAATATCTCAAACTGCGAAGTCTAGCTTAAGATCTTGATCTAAGCTACTCAACATTAACCGAATATTACAATAATAATGAGACAACAAGCTGTAATAGTAATAAGATTCTTAAAATTCATTATTGGTAAAATACAAGTTTATTTAGGACAGAGATTTTTAATTTTTCAAAGAGACTTCCACCGGCTACTGTTATACTTTTTACAAAACTTCTGGATTCCTACTGAGTCGGTTTTGTAATTCCAATAAATGGATTTTAATTTTTTTTCCTAAATACTAAAATTCAAAATATTTATTATACTTAGCATATCCAGAATATTTTTCGTCTTAGAAGAGCAGATTCTTTAAATTCATTTTAAAAAAATGCACAAGAGCTAGAAAAAACAAAAACTGAAAAACATGCAGGTCTGCGTTTTAAAAAAATGAAACACACACAGGTAAAATTTAGGTATACCATGTGGTGGGGCTTAAAAAAATAATATCTTTTTTTCGTAAAATCACCCGATTTCTAGATATTTAAAATGGCAAGTAGATTTCTATTAATCTTCATGTAATCCAAAGACAAATAGAAATTTAGTAATGGAGAAAAGGATTTTTTATCAATTTCGTTTCTGGTGATGCCGAAGGGCAGCATTGCTGCTTGCTTAACCAAGCATCCATAGGTAACAAAACAAAACTTGAAAAATATAAATTAAATGAGTTAATAATAACAATATTTAGCTTACAATCAAAAACCTCCAATTACATAATCCAAAATGACAACACTGATAGCATCTCTGCTAAAAGTGTGCAATATAATAAATATAATTAACCAACCAATTATCAAGAATGCCCAAAACTCAGATCTTATCTATTAAACAATCTTTAAATCTCTTTTTGAAGTTTTCGCATGTAAAGTTCAAAAAACCGTTACGTAATTCAGAAGCCATATCGCCATATTAGAACTTTAACACACTGAGTTAAGATTTGCTACCAGAAAACCCAAAACCTTCCTGTAACAATATGGCTGAAACTTACCCAGGTCGAATTCCTGCACTGTGGCAAATCCGGTATCTACATTAGCGCTGACATCGTGTTTTACACCTTTCCTGGCCTCCAGAAGAAGGTTAATCATATCCGGCCGAACGATACCTCTTTCCTCTCTGGCTTTTATAGTTTCGGAAATGATCTGAGTGAAATATTTTGACACCTTGGCGTCAAACAACGTTATTCCTAACATCTGCAATGGATATTACGGGAATTATAAATGACTCAAAATGAAATTTGAACAACTTACGCGAAATAATTTAGGCGCAACAAAATATCCCGTAAATTTCAACATCATTTTGATACCAGAAAGATTGGTTAGTGTCTTTCCCATGTAATAAAATTCATTGTTTGGCTCTGCCAGCGAATCAACTTTAATTCCAAATGCAGCACTAGCGATAACATCGTTCGTGAACCTAAAAACTGAAGTCGTACAACCGAAGCAGAACTGCATGGAAAACATTTAAAATTCGCCAAATATATTTTTATTATAAAATAAAATAATCATAATAAATATTAGTATAAATCAAAATAAATAATTAAACTGCTATTTAAATAAACCGGACAAGTAATTGCCAAAATAATAGTATAAGAGCCTAATGCAATTTAAAAAAAATCAAATAAATGATCTCCACATACATCGATTTGCATTTTTGTTTCTAATTTTTACAAACATATTTAAACATTTAAATTTCCAATAAAATGTTTTCAGAATTACTATATGTGATTATTTCAAACATAATATTTAATAAATATACACATACCTGGTGAAAGTTTCTTTAACTTCCAGCTCGATAAGATCTTCTTTTTTCGTGTCGAAATATTTAACAAAGCTTTCACAAGTATCGCCTATCAAATGGAACATAAATTTCATCTTGCTACTGGTAAAAGAGGCGGACAAAGTAGCTCTCATATCTTTCCAAGTTTGTCCTAAAATGTCTCGAATTATAAATTTAGGTTTTAACGTAAGGGAAATATTCATACTACCTCTTAAAGCGAAAAGGTTTTTGCCCCATAGTGGATCAGATTCGGGATCAATGAAAGGTCTGTGATCGGTAAAATGATCGAAATCTTTGACGGTCAATTGTTTAATAAGCTCTGGATCTCTAATGAGTAACGTTGGTACGTAAACTTGGTACATACCAGAATACCTAGAAATATTATTTTTTCAGTTATCTACTCATAGATGTAATATTAAACAGAACATGAATGGTTTTTCGAGTTTTAAGTGTCACAAACCGCTTCCCTAAAAATTGATTAAAATTAACTGCAGAAGTGCCAGAATATTCCCACGACATAATTCTATTATAAATTAACCTAAGCGGAGAACTTTTGACTCGATACTGATTTTGAATAATTTAAAAAAATAAGACTATAATTTTACAAAACATAACTTACCGTTCGTTGGGAAACATGTTGTAAAGCCATATTAACATTTCATCGAAACTTTTCCGTCTGAAGATGGTCACCCAATTATCGCCGAAAAACAGCCACGGGTTGGTTTGTTTTACCCCGAGATCTCTCCAGTAATGCAATGGTTTAACCAAAAAGTACCAGAAGAGAATACTGAGCACAATGCCAGCTAATATTATGGTTAGCATGGTGGGAAAACCTCAACCTAAAAAATAACTTTTAAAGGTATGAAATTTTATTTTTAGTTGCAGGATTATAGGTTGTAATGTAACATTATATGAACGTTGAAAATTAATGAAGCAACAACTAAAGTTTCACATTACCCTGTATAGCTTTGGCTGAATTAATCAAGCTATTCATACTAAAATTAAGTTTGCAACATCCTTACTAATTAGTTAGTCGATCATTAAGATCAGTAAGTTCGATCAGCAAGCGAAGTAGGAGGAATGCAGGAGATTTGTAAACAGAAAAAATAATCTTATTTAAGTTGCAGCGCTCCTCGTGATATCTGGATGGATTTACCAAATAGCTTGACGTTTATTATTCGTAGAGAAGAAACAGTCATTATTTCTACACTTCAAACTACACCACAATTGATAGAATTAGAATTCTGTAGCAATCTTAATAACGATGACACAGGTGAATCAGAACGGGACTTGTTTAAAATAAATGTATTAAGGTTAGGAAAATGTTTAACTAAATCATTTTAAAGAAACAAGTAAATAATAAGTAATCCTAGAAAAGTTTTGAAATATATCTCCAACCTATTAGAAAGGAAAAGTGACAAGTTAAATATGATATAAAGAGTTGATGTTAGGACGAATGAAGGATTCGGGGGATACAAATGAACAGTTAATTGATTAGAAACTTTATAGCTTTGTTGCTAAGGTAGCAAATAGTATAGAATTCTTTTTATAAAATAGATGACTTTATAAATTGCAACTCCTCTAGCCTCTTGCATTAAAATGCCTATCTAACCGATCTAACGTCACTTTACCAGGTCAGTTTTGTTTCCGGCGGATCCGAGCCACAGATATTACCGCACAGATTTTACAGCACGGCTTGAATTTTGACGTTTGTTAATTCGACGGTTATGTCAATGAATGTATTCCTGTTATTTTGCAAAAATATGCCCGTAGGAAAAGTTGGACATGTTTGGTAAACCTTTTAAATCATTCGTTTATTAAACGCTACGGCGTATAACTTTTTTGATCAATAGCTCTATAACTTCCAATAAGTTTCAAAAATTTCTTGTGTCCCATGCTCTTCTGATAAACGAAACGAAAACTAAGATATCATTTTTTGGAAAAAACGCTAGCTCGTTTAAGGATATTGGTTTTATGGTCGTCGTAAATAATGAGATCGTTATTATTGCCGATTATGGCAAGAATTTGGATATGTTTTTCAATAGCAATCTTCGTTTCGAATCGCACTTGTCTTATTTGAGAAGAAACTAAGAACTCTCTATATATTCAAAGATCTTTTAAATACAGACATCAAACTAAGGTTATGCGACTCTCTTATTCTTTCCCACTTATTTTACTGTAATGTAGTATACTGGACTACAGAGACTGCAAAATAGTTGTCTAAGGCTTTGTAATAATCTCCAGAAAATTGATCACATTATTATGGCGAATCTGGATGGCTTAAATAAGACTAAAGTTTCTTTCTCCACTTATGCACATGCGCAGTCCGAACAGCTAAAGTATTTGCTTTTTAGCTATAACGTCACTAAGTGTTTCAACTCCATTCCGGATGGTATCAAGTGTTGCTCGACCTCTTCCGACCTTAGAAAGCGTCTTAAAACTAATCCACTGTCCAATTAAAACTATTAATACTATTTTTTCCTATTTTACTGTCCTTATCTCTATAGTTCTTTGTAGCACCGCCGCTCCATTGAAGTGAATAACTATAAAAACGTATTTGAATTTTTTTATTTTTTATAAAAATGTGTATAAATCTATTTTTATAACCTCTCCTTCACAGTGGTACAATCAAGTTAATGTTTTATAATTAATTCATGAAATGAAATGAGTTAGGGTGGTTAGGTGAGTAGCTTTACTAAATCTTGCCACCCTCCTATCTTATACTGTTTTAGTTCCTATTGTTTACATATATATAAATAAAAACCTGTTATAATAATAATTATTATTATTAGTATTATTATTAACTCTTGACTCAAATGCTGTTCACCACACAGCATTTTGTCCGTTTGTCAGCATTAAATTGTTTGTTTTATATTTTTAGTGTTTTATATTTTTTAAAAATTACAAAAATTCTGCACGCTAGCCACTGGATAACACGCATTAGCAAATTTTTAGTCACGGCAACTAAAAAATTTTATCTACATTAAACAAAACCTATAGACTTTTTGTTTTAACCAAACTCATGTTTTTGTTAGTTGGTAGAAGTTTCGGTATACGAATATTTATGAACAATAAAATAAAGCAAAAATCTCGTCATTTGAAAGCCTACTTGATGAACACAAAACTTTTTGTTTTATTTTTACATTTATTTATAAGCTTCAACTAAATGTTCAAATGTTCACAATATTCAACTCTATCAGCATTTCAAATTGCAAATTTGTATCTCAAGGTATTTTGTAATGCTGCCGTCGACAGTCGTTTCGTTGCCACCCGGTATATAAACAACCAAAACTAACCTTTTTTCTTTGGTAGGATTCTATAAATTCACTGTTATCTGCAACTTTCGCGCTCCAGGGCAATATTAAAAGGGTGATTAATTAAAATTTAATGAAAACCGGGATTAAAGTTAACTTTCGACTAACAAATTATAAAGAACAAAATTTTAATTAATCATCCTCATAATCTGGCAGACAACAGTGAATTTAAATATCCTAATAAAGAACTAAACAAAAATAGAAAGTGGCTATGGGGATTTTCTCGCTTTTTAATTTTAATTTCCAATAATGTTGATTAGGTAATGAATAATTAGAATTTTATGAAAACAAGATGATACTCCATGCACTAACCAAAACCAATATGATATATAGAAAAAAAAACTAACAACGTGGGGACCAAAATTTGCTGTAGTAACTTATTTCAAAACATCTCTTGAAATGAGTCTCCGAAACTGAGCTGCCAGATCTAAACGCCCGGTATATTTGTTAAAAACGGATTAAATCTTAATTAAAATTACGCACTGTGGCACCCCGTTTTCTAAGACATTTAAAAAAAAAATAATTTAAATAATATAAAAACTTGCAGCTTGCTAGTCCGCTGACCAAAAATTTATCAGCTAATTTTTTGTTCTGCAATTTTTACAGCCTGACTTAAATTTGATTGAAAAATTAAGTGTTTATTTATAATATGTTTATGAGCAAAAAAAAATTTTTACTTGTATTATTTTATTATCTGTAACAATTCCGATTAATCTACTTGAAAAATGTATCAAATTTCCGTGACTACTTACGTGTACTTTGTCTTTCTAGGTATATCAGACAACGAACTGATAGAAATGTTTATTAATTTCAAAAACAATATCGGTAACCTTGACAAAATTCACAATAATTACTTTCAACTGCGCACTGCACAGTCAATTGGCAAATAAGCGAGAATCTCCTCTGATACATAAACAAAATTTAATGTAGAATTAGACATTAGATAAACGCGAAATTCTATGAACACGCCGACAGGTTTGTATTGAGTGCGCGTGGTCGAAATTTAAAAATGCACCTCATAAACATCAATTAATAACCTACTTAATAAATTTAAAAACGGAATTCCTACACAGTAAACAACTATAGCCTCGTCGTCGAAGACATTCTCTATACATATTGGCGGTACTGCTCCTGCCCTAATGGCTGGGGCCCTGCATTAAGATTTTCTTACCTATTATGCCCGCCTATCTTGGCTCTCTTCTCTAAAACAGCCCTTTATTCTCGAGGAAGCTTTTGGTACTTTTAATCGGCTGCTCTCTGGTAGTGCGCATCTGGTTGAGAGAAAAATTCCTCCTTCTCTAACACGTCTCCAAGAATCGGCGTCAGCCACCCCCATAATATGAAGTTGGCTTTTTAGATGAGCTTTACATTCCGCCAGTATTGTGAATGTTTCTCAGCAGTCAAGTAGCAATACGGAGCACACCCTTAAGAGCCTGGATAGATGTGCTTGTCCAAATATCCTCTATCGAGTTTCTCGTCAGCACACCAGCGGGGGCACACCCTCAGAACTACATAGATCTGTGCTTTAGGATAGCTGCCATATATAGCAGCTCCTGTTCCAGTGTCTGTTTTGAACCTGCTCGTTAAAGGAATATTTTCTACTTTATGGGAATTCTCATTCTTATAGGGCAGCCCCCGTCCCTATTTAAAGAAAAGAAAATTTTTGAAATTTGACCGATTCACGTGTTTCGATAGCAAGAAATTAAATATGAATCTTCAAGGAGATTGTAAATAATATTTTTCATTAGTTTTTATTTCATATACATCAATGGTTAAATTGAATTCAAAATCTAAAAGGGAATCTTTAATATGGAACCCGTTCTCGGGAACCTGTATATACGTAATCGCTTTAGCTATTACAATTATGGAAGTGTGAACAGAAGTTGCTCAGAACATATTTTATCTTAATCTAAATTTACCTGAGCCTGTGGTAAATGGTAAATAGAGAAAAGCTACTCTCCAAAAGCGATCAGAAGAGCTTATCTAAATGAATTTTAATCTACTGAGACTTTTTGGGCCATTTGTTGTAACAGTTGTAGACCTCATAACTAGAAATCTTTCATTTCTTGCCGCTTTGCGCAGTTTAGATCTTTCCTGAATTTTCCTTTTTGGCAAACAGAGTGTAGGTGTTTGATTTATTTAATATTTAGTATTAGACCACCCTATTTCTTTTCTTTTGCGAGTCACGTTCCTACTTTTTTGACCCACCAATTAGCCGGACACAATGGTTCTATATATGCTGAATGCGATAATTATATATCTTCTCTTCTTCAATCGTCTGACATCCACTACTGGGTAAAATGGGTAATTTAAAAATTACCTCTTTTAAGTATGTTCTAGACATCTACTACGATCTGTATGGTGGTATTATTTATTTGGATATTGTTTTTATTGTGACTTAGGATTTTTGTTTTATTTAAGTTCATATAACATCTTCTGCTAAGTTCAGATGCTTGAACACATTTTCTAATGCCTAACTAAAATACCATTTTCAATATAGTGTCGCACCTGTTCGTATAGGGATCTGTTTAGTTTTCAAGTTCTCATTTATTTTTTATGAGGCATTGCTTGCTGCATTAGTCCATTTCTCCGGTTTCGCTTCTTTTGTAATACGTTTATTCAATAAGATTTCAAATGCTTTTATGAGGTTGTCTCCACCTAGTTTAAATAGTCCTGAAGTTATTTGATCTTCTTCAGGAGACTTCAGATTTTTCATCTGATACAAAGCATGTCTTACTCATTTGTTAGACTGGCTTAAGGGATTTGCCTACAGAACTTTGCGATTTCCTTTGATATGGCTTGATTGTCGCTTAATTTTTGTTTTCTTAAATCTTTCCATATTTCTTTGTGACTTGAGCCTATTTTGTTATGTATTCTGGCTTGCCTTATTTAAAATTTGTCTTTCAGTCGCATAATATCTTGATTAACTTTTGTTTCTGTGGCTTTACGTTTGCACCTACTTTTCTAGTTGCTATTTGTATTTAGTTATTTTCTTTAGTTATTTTAGTTATTTGTTCCATTTTCGTGAAGATTTGATTTATTTTTAAGTTCTTGTTGCTATTGATATCGCGTCGCGATTAATGTGCGTGTTGAAGACCACCAAGGACATTTTCACTGGGATTGTTTTTTACAAAACGTATTTAGACAATGTAATCTCTGAAGTGCCTTATGTATTTCGACTCGTGTTGATGTTTCCTTCCGATTTTAGCATTAAAATCTCCAATTACGTTGGTGTAATGGAATAAGAGACAAGGCAAGTCTTTCAGATAGATATTCTTGGTATTTGGTTATTAGATATTCTATTTTCTTGGTTATCAAAAATGCGACTCCGCCTACACCACAATTAGTCTCAGAATTATTTTGGTATAATGATTTCAACGGTCTTCCTTTCCCCCTTCTGTCTGGTTTAGCTTAACCCAAGAATATCCCATTTTGCAGTTTTTAGTTCTTTTTGAAGTTCTGCAAATTATTTTGTTGTACAGGGTTATTTTTTAAATTTGAGTACCCACCTACAGGGATTACCGGATGTCACCTAGAAAAACTTTTGATACAAAAGTTATATAGTTTTTGCAGTATTATCTATCGCAAACTTGAGAAACAGTAGCAAGTTTTTTTTTTCAATGGTACATCCTATATATTTTCTGTTATGACGAAAGATCTTTTTCTCCTGATTTAAAAAATATATAGATTATTTAAGTTTAAATTTTCGATTAACTAAACAGATGTTAATGAAGTTGGCAAATTGGCAAATTGTTCATATCATTCAGTTACAAAAATGGATTACTCAGAGTAAGAAAAGCTTCTAGTAGTTTTTGTTTCTTAACGACGAACGATAAGAAAACCTATAATAACGTAAGTAAAGGGTTATGTATTTTCTATATATCCACCATGATTTTCCGAACACTTTCTATTATTACCTCTCATTTTATGATGAATCACATTCAAAATAAAGTCTGAATGATTTCTATTGAATATTTCTTGTTCAATTCTTTGGCGCAACACGGTATATTTTAAGATCTGTAATTGTAAAGATCCCTATAGGAAAATATCAAGAGGGTTTAGGTCCGGGCTATTAGCCAGCCACTGAATAGTGCCATATCTGCCTATCCAACGGCCATATCTATCATTTTATTATTTGGTAACTGGATCACTGATTTTTCTGTTATATGCCTCAACATTTCCTGGAATAAATCTGTATAAGTGATATTTATAATATTTTAAAGTGGACTGAATCTTGTAGTATGACATTGCTAATTGTGCGGCAAATATTTCAACAAACTTTCGGGATTCTCTGAAAAGGTGTATCAAATTAATCTTAGCAAAATATTCATGTCGTCATCTTCATTGCTAACAACAGTTCTCTTTTATCTCTTTTTTGGTTTCATTAAATTGCAGCATAATGCGTTTGATTGTGTCTGCTGACGATACCCGTCGCCCAGGATTAATCTGATTGAGTAACCCATTTTCCTACATGAATGTTTTTATTTCATCGTCAACATCTGTTTAGTTAATCAGTTAAATAATTCAAGAATATTGTTGAAATCAGGAGAAAAAGATTTTTCGTCATAACAGAAAATATAATGGGTGTTTCATTTAAAAAAAAAACTTGCTACTGTTTTTACAAATGTAAAATATAATAATGCAAAATTATACACGGTATTTAAAGTTTGTCTCAGTGATTTCCGTTAACCTCTGTAGGTGTCCAGCACTATGTATTTCTCAGCTCGGCATTTGCCATGGTTTTCTAGAAAGTTCTGGATATTGAAGGAATAGGTATTCGTGAAGAGGTTAGAATTTGGGTGGGACAATAAATAGCCAGTGTGGTATTGACAGATATACCGAAGCCCACGTAGGAAGGAGCAAATCCCTGAAATAGATCTATCGGGATAATAAGTGAACATCTACTAGCTTCTATATATAAAGGAAAGTATATAAATATTTTCTAAATTTGAAAACTCAACTGATTACTTTTATTTGTCTAAAGTCCTTATCACAAATTTAACTATTATTTTATTTTGCCATTTGTTATCCGACCGATTAAAAACACGACAGACCAATCTGTATTAATTATAAGTTTCTTAGACGCTTAGATGAAAGTGTTTAAAAATAAATATTATCTTGTTATTGTTCTATACAACAAGTATAAACTCAAAATATACATTTGATAACGCACTGTAACATTATGAATTGTTGCAATTATTTTTCGCAGGCCTAAATCAACATTTAAAAACGACCTTGTGTTGTTTTCGCGGTTCTGTCGTTTATTGACACAATTGCACAATTACACCTTATGCATGTTCCAATTACAAGAGCATTAAACATATAAATTGCATGAAGCGCTTTGCAACTTAAAATATAAGCAATCTTGCACCTTAATAAATTATAATAATAACCAATAAATTTTTAAAAATTCCTGAACCGACTCCAGAATCTCTTGAATACTTTCCGAATGAGTTCGAAATGTAACACGCTTCCTCCAAAACATTTAATTTGCAATCGATCTTTCATTTTTAGTATTAGTATTAATATACCTATTATATACCTAGCTAGAAGCAAACGCAAAATTATTTCTAAACTCTACCGAGCGAACAAAAACATACTAAAAGTTTTATCTCAAATGTCCTAAGCAAATACTTATTTTGAAGCCTATAAAAATCATTATTAGCATATAGTAAAAATGTAATCAGTAAAAGTTACAGTTTTCAGCTATTCGTAATTATATGAAGAAAAAATTACAATTTATGAATATAAGATCTTTGAAATTTTATCCCGAAAGAAAACAAAAGAAAGGAATATATTTAGCGAAGAAAAAAGAGACTAGAGTCCAAAAGAACCAACGAATTTTAAGTGATCCTGGATTTCAAATAGTGATTGAAAAAGGAGAAGGAGCTCATAGAACATCAATATGTATAACTCTATCTAACGTTTTACCAAAAATGGTTCAAAAGACGGATATTTGGATTAAATTTCTGATGGAAAACTCTATGGACAATAAATCTACACAGCTAAGAACTTTTCTTGGCCGGTGATATAGAACTGTTAAAACCGTATAGATACCCCACCAGACCTCAAAAAATAGCATAAAAACTAACACGCCGATTGCCTGTTTTGCAACCGGTGCGTTTGAACACTACCAAAATTTCGTCAGTGATCAAAGGAGCTGATGTTCTGCATAACATTTAAATGACATTTTCTTTTGCCAACAAATTTTTTGGAATGTTACAGATAATTTGCGAGGTCTTCCTGCTTTCGCTAGTTAGTAAGAGGAAAACTCATCACTTGCTCAAATACTATTACCCAGAGCTGAACTAACCTAGTGAAAGTTAAAGCTACCATTTAAAACTAAGTAATCGCTCATAGCTTATTTTAAACTGCCTCTGGAATTTAATCAAATTTAGAATATCTTGTAGATGAAAAAATAAGGTTAGAAAAATACGCGTAATTTGTTTTTAAATATTGTTTTATTTATCTTAAAGTCTATTCCCTATGCGTTTGATGCCGCACGAAAACCCCTTTTCAGCGGTAAAATTGAAAGATTTACTCATTTTCAACGGGATTTGGGTTTTCGCAGTCGGAACCACTTGGAATTTCAACAGGAGATGATACAACATCACCTTCACTTCCAGAAGGGCGAATCTCGATCCGATGCAATTTCTAGGTCCCGATCCGAATGGCGTGTAAGTGTAGGGCTTGATGTTGTCTTTATTTGCGTCTGAAAACCTTTCGGGATCAAATTTCTCCGGATTTGGGTAATATTCCGGATCTCTATGTATGGCGAACGTTGGAAGAAAAAGCGCCGCGCCTTTCGGCAAATGTATAGCTCTCTCCTCCTCATTAACAGGCTGTATCGTGTAGGGCTTAGTGCAGACTCTGTCCGTTGCGATTGCAGGTGGCCACTTTCTTAATACTTCTGTTATCACAAAACACAAAAAGTGCATAACGTGAATCTCGCGCATCTGTTTGGTGCTTACCAGACACCACCATATCCAGATATTTCATTTTAAGCAGCCCGTCGTAAGTAATTTTTGGATATTCGCTTGTAGTCTTTGTAATTTCTTCGCGAAGTTTTTGCTGGATATCTTGATTGCATGCCAGTTCATGTAGTGCGAAACACATAGCTGTGGCAACGGTTTCGAAACCGGCAAGGAAGAATATGACCGCTTGCGACGTAATGTCTTGGTCTGTAAGATCTAGGCGTGGCTTCGCAGATGTTTCTGAAAATTGTTCTTCTATGTAGTTATTTATTTATTTAATCACATGGAAAATGGATGACATATGACATATATAATCAGAAGAACAAACTCGATATGGAGCAAAATGTAACATATTTTCATACAATACATTCTTATATATTACTTTCATCCATTTGTAGAAGGCTTACGACAGCGTTCTGATATCGCAGTTGTGCAATACTTTAAAAGAACTCTGAATTAACAAAACTCTTACCAAAGCAATCAGAATAGGAAACAGAAACATTTCACATCAGCATTTCAGGACACAAAATAAAAATAACATAAAAAAGCAGTAAGAACTTGTAAGCATTTGGCAGTTTTATTCAACAAACAAGCAAACAGCCAAGATGAAATAAAACAAAAGATAAGTAAGGCAAAACAACAAGAATGACCTTCTCTAAGCAAAATACTTTGAGATAAGAACATTACCATGGAAACGAGGCTGTAATCACGTAAGTGGGTATTAATAGTACAAACTGTAGATACTGAGATAGATTTCCTAAGGCGAAGCTATAGATAGATTAGATAGAACTAGGAATGGCTCATCTGTAATAATAATCTGTCATGTATAATACCATCTCCGCAAATATATTCAACTTCGTTAATATTTCAAAGAAACTCCCATATGCTACTGTAATGCTTTTTACAAAACTTCTGGATTCCTCCTGCGTCGGTTTTTGCTTAGTCGAAATTGCTGACGTTTCGCCAATCATCCTGTTGGCTTCTTCAGAGAACCAGTTTTCAGTCCAGCTCTGTAGAAGCCAACAGGATGATTGGCGAAACGTCAGAAATTTCGACTAAGCAAAAACCAACGCAGGAGGATTCCAGAAATTTTGTAAAAAGCATATTCAACTTTGCTTTACTGGAAAGTCCTTATCAATTGCCCTACATTCCGAGGAAATTCAATATATCATATAATATATCAAACTGCAAGTATACATCTATTCAGGTCGTAAAAAAATAGAGTCCATTGCATTTTCTAATCCAAATCAAAATGGGAGAAATATCACAATTACCAAGTAATTAATTAACCAATCTTCATATTTTTAAATCACCTTGAAATCCGTCCCTAATGCAATCAATGCATGCGTGTTATTGCAATCAACAGTTTATTTCGATAACTGCCGCAAAAAACTTCATTTACTATAGAAACACAGAATTGACTCTAGTTAAGATAAGTTTTTGTAAATTAAGGGCCATAATAAACCTTAATAAATATTACCGATCCATGGTATAAACTTCCACCCAATTGACAGAGTAAATGTATTAATTTTCATTTAATTATCTTTATCATCGCTTTTTAAAATCGAAAAAGTAATGAATAGCGGAAAAAACAGTTCTGGTTAGTTTCAATTTCTTTCATCCGTCGAATAAAAATATCTGAGAAAGTAGATGTATAGTGCCGATATAAGCAACAGAAACCGTACATAACCTCAATTTCCTAACCCCCCCGCAGCGGGGGCCCCCCGCGCGTGGCGTCCTAGTGTCCCCCCTGTCTCCCAGAGTGCGCTCCGCCCCCCACCCAGCTTGTGTAGCGTCCTGTTTTGCCCCGGTTCCGCCCGTCGCTGCTAGATGTCGCGCGCTTGTGTAGCGTCCTGTTTTGCCCCGGTTCCGCCCGTCGCTGCTAGATGTCGCGCGCTCCGACCGTCGTAGGCCCCCCCGGTAGAGGGCGGTGACGGTGCGGCGCGGTGACGCGGTGGATCGGGAGGATAATTAAATAAACTTGAATTTTAATACATTTTATTTTATTTTATTTATAAAATTGGTCTGGCGAGGAGTTTCTTCTTCTTTTTATGTCGATTCAGTCGACCATCCCATTGTTCCTGTTCCTTGCGTTGTTCTTCTTCCCGTTCCCGGAGGAAATCTAAATACGAAGTGCACTCCTCGCCGTCCCACTCCGTCGACCACCCACCCGGGTACTCCTGCTGCTCCTTTGTTTCTTTTGATCCACCGGGTTGCTCCTGCTGCTGGTGATGTTCCCTTGTCGTTTCATGTCGTACCGGGAATTCTAACCCCCGGTACTCTTTGTGTGATTTGAATATGTGACGCCCTAAGCGATGCGCCAACATAATATGCGACTTGTTATACGGACAAACCGCGATTTTTTCTAGAACAAAACAAAGTATGATATGTAGCGTTTCCTATAAAACACACATTTTTTTTTTAAACAAAACTTCCAAAAAGGGGGGTTATCAAATAATTTTAAAAATTGTTTTTTAAGTTATACGCGCATACCAAAATTCACGTTTCAATTCACTGTCATTTAAATGTAAGTGTATTATTGTCAAAAGGGCAAACTGCAATTTTTTAGTACAAAAAATAAACAAAAATATGTATATATTTCGCGTTTTCCCCATAAAACGCACATTTTTGAAACAAAACTTTCAGTAATTTTAAAAATTGTTTATTTTTTAAAAGCCAAAATTCCCTATTCACTGTCATTTAAAAGATATTAAAAACGCTCAATTTAATTCGATTATTATTGTCAAAAAGGCAAACTGCAATTTTTTAGTACAAAAAATAAAACATTTTTGAAACAAATTTAAAAATTGTTTATTTTTTAAAAGCCAAAATTCCCTTTTCCATTCACTGTCATTTAAAAGCTATTAAAAACACTCAATTTAAATCGGTTATTATGCAACGTAAAAAAGATGAGTATCATATTTTAAAACAGGTAGAAACTAACCAAAAAAGTGATAACCCAAACTGAAACCCACAAGAAAAGACGCGCACTGTATAAAGGTAATTAAAATATAAAACTTACCAGTTGTAGGGTCGTAGGGAAATGGACATCGCACTTCTCTATTCATTGCACTGAATATAGTCTATAATACACATGCAACGTATTTATACACATGCACTCCCTTCCATGGTTGAATTAAAAGTCGAAAGGTCTTCTACCCACAAGCACCAACGCCGATTTGAATAGACGCGATGTTGTCGCCAGACAACCGTGCAGGTAGGAGTCTCAGGGTCAACACGCTTTCACACGGGAACGCAACCGTTTCGGACGTTGGACGAACGTATGTTGCCGCAAAAGATCAAGGCCAACTTGCTTTCATTTTTTACAATCTCCGTATGGGATGTGGAATTTCAAAACGCGCCGAGTCTAAATGTCAAGTTGTTTTGCTTGTTGAGAATAATAATTAATTGCCCCCTTTATATTTGCTCCGTGGGATTAACGTAATGGGAAAAATTTGTTGCAACGCATGTGGAGGTGTCTTCGTTTGTTAACTTTTAGAAAGTATTCTCGCACCGTATAAATACATCTCATTTTTCTCTGTTTTGTCAGTAGTTGTTTTTGGTATTATTCGTGCAACGTGGAAGCTAACTTAGTGGTTTGGTGTTCGTACAAAAAATCAGTAAGTACCTTTTTTATTGTCTTATTTTAATTCTTTAACATTTGTTATTATTTTATAAAGGTCCTAAAGATCATCTTAGTACTCTCAACCCGTAACCGCAAATAGAATAGCAGCAATCTTAAGCGTAAGTTTTTTTTTATTTTTTTAATTTTGAGATAAAATAATTAATAATAATTTATAGATGGACTTAAGTCAACTGAATCAAACCTGTCTTGCAGAAGGTGATTTTGAGCAGCCGATTGTCAAACTGCATGAATTGCCGATAGGCGTTCCGTTTAAAATTACTAGAGCCAAAATTGTTAATACAAAATTTGGCAATTCCGTGTTGCTGCAATTAGAAAATTCCGTAGTATTTCTTCCTACTCGCGTGACAGAAGCTTTCCGTCCGAGACTAGAACACTTTGCGTCGGGGCAGTACAAACTGGTCTACGAGGGATCCAAAGATATTGGAAAGCCCAACTCTTTAAAGAAATTCAAAATAATTCAAAATTAATCAACATATTATACAGGGTAAGTCTTATTTACTGTTATATATTTAATAAACCACGATGCGCGTAAAGCAGATCATTCATAGAGCGCAAATCTTAATTTTAACCTTACAAAAATTAAAAAAGCATATTTCCGACAAGTTCACTCTTAGAGATAGTGATGTGTGGCTTAGGAGACTAAATAAAAATATTGAATCTTGCAACCAAATCGTTTCTAACGAAAAGGATTTATCTATTGGGTTAAAAAGAAAATTACAAACTACAATTCAACATCTGAAAGCTATTAGAAAAATTATTCTTAATTATCAACATAAGCATTTTGGATTGGGATTACAAAGTAGTAGCCGCGAGACAAACACAAATGAAATGGTTGTATGGGAATCGGTAGCGTCGTGTTTCCAGGGAAGAGTTCAGACTGGTGTCATAATTAATTTACTTCATAAAGATTTAATTCAATTTTTAAACGATTCTCGTCCAATATTTCAACAAAAAATTAGTCAAATTTTAAAGAAATTTTTATTGCTGAAAGTAAATACCACATTTTGCGGTGAATTTATTAAGGCAAAAAATGATGTCCAAGGCGAAGTTGATGTTAAATATCTGAGTACCGGAAATGCTGTAGTTGATTTAGGAACAGAATTGAATGATTGGTTTGTTGAAAATGTGCAAGATAAAATTTTAAATCAAATGTCAGAGTTTCAGGAACGTGATTCCGGGTGGGCTTTAAATAATATTATTTATTTAGAGATTAACATTAATAAATTTGAAATGGGTAACGGGTCATCCTTCGTTGAGTTGCCTAAAGAAATTGCGAATAAAAGGGCTTGTATTAACATTAGAAATGACGATCAAGCGTGTTTTTATTGGTCAGTTGTATGCGGACTCTTTCCAGCACGTTTTCGTCAGTATTTACCCTCTTCATATCCATACTACAAAAGTGTTTTGAAAACTGAAAATTTACAAACACCTATGGAAATGAATAAAATAAGCAAATTTGAAAAAGACAATGATATTTCCATCAATGTTTATATCTTAGAGCTTAATAAAAATGAAAAAACTAGTTTTTATTCCGTGTTACCTGCACGATTAACAAAAGAAAAACGCGAAAAACATTCAAATTTGTTGTTAATACAAAATAAATATTATCCAAAAGTTAATGATTTTGATCCTGATCCGCAAGATAATGATTATGAAGAAATAAAATATCACTATTGTTACATTAAAAATTTGTCTCGATTAGTTTCCTCACAGCTCAGTAAATATAATCACAAGAAATACATTTGCGATAGGTGTTTGAATTATTTCAATAACGAAACTCGTCTACATGACCATGAAACAATATGTTCCAGTTTCAATGAGTATAAAGTGTCTTTTCCCAAATATGATTACGTTGAATTTCGAAACCATATATATAAACAAAGGACTCCGTTTGTAATTTACGCCGATTTTGAGAGTCAATTGAGAAAAGTAAATTTGAAAATTTCAGATAAAACCTCGAAATACCAAAAGCACGAAGCTTACAGTGCTGCATATTACTTTAAATGTTCTTATGATGATTCAATATCATTTTTCAAAAGTTATCGTGGTCTAGATTGTATTGATTGGTTCGTGGAGGAAATATCTAATTTATCAAAATTTGTTCGTTCAAAATTTAAGGATATTATACCAATGGATAGTGAAATTAGTCTAGATCAAAGGTCGAGTCATTGTCATATTTGTGAAAAACCTTTTTTAAAAGAAGATGTTATTGTTCGTGACCATGATCATTTTACTGGTAAATTTAGAGGTTTTGCCCATCAGGCTTGTAATTTAAATTTTAAAAAAATATTTGTAGTGCCCGTAGTATTCCAGAACCTTTCTGGATACGATAGCCACTTCCTGCTTCCGGTTTTAGCAAAAAAAAGCTATGTATCCATAGTTCCGGTTAATAAGGAAAAATACATCTCTTTTACATATTTCGAACCTGATTATAACATAAAATTTAGATTTATAGATTCGTTTAGATTTTTGGGAGCATCTCTGGATAATTTAGTTTCCAGTATGGATAAAAATGAACTATATATTTTAAGAAAAGAATTTTCCGATCTCGACGAATCAAAATTAAATTTACTGTCGCAAAAAGGTATTTTTTGTTACGATTACATCGACCATATAGACAAATTAAATGAAACAACTTTACCCCCGATTGAAGAATTCTATAATAAATTAAGTGAAAGCAATATTAGTGAAGAAAAATATTCCCACGCACAAAGTGTTTGGCAGTCGTTTGAAATAAAAAATTTAGGCGAGTATTCAGATTTGTATTTAAAAACCGACGTTATTCTTCTGGCAGATATATTCGAAAATTTTCGAAAAACTTGTATGGCAACACACGTTTTGGATCCGGCGTGGTATTTCAGTATGCCCGGGTATACATGGGATTGCATGCTTAGATTCACAAAACGGGCGACACCATACATATTTTGAGAAACAGTCTATCACAACCAGCACGAATTTAAAATTTCTGTTTTGTTTGCTGTAGCGATCTAATTGGGCCAGATCCGCTTGCCACAGGTCATCCATCCCTCGTATTATAGTCCGGCGGCGAGCATAATTTCTGCGTGCCGGCTTGTGCAGTTCTCGAACCAGTTGTACCTTCTCTTTATTCATAATGTGTGTTCGGTTGCGATGGAGGATTTAAAACCCTTTGTTTCAATACCTTCATTATATTCTCATTTTCGTTCGTAAGTCGCTCCATTTTGGTTACAATATCATGAAATTGCTGTGACAAAACGGCGACTTTTGTCATGTGCTTTTCCAAATCTTTCTTTGCGCTCATTTCGCTTAGCTTTTGGTGGAAAACTTCGCGAAACTGCATAATTTCATTTTCGAGTGTAGTGCTACTCATTTTCAGTTGTTCTTCAAGACGCGAGAATTTAGTTTTGTCTTCAATTTGTAATCTTTTCGTGTACGCTTCGAGTTTCTGTCCAATAATCTTTCTCAATGCAATTTTTAATAAATTACTTGTCTCATCCACATATTTTTTGTTAGCCACGTCACCGTCATCGCTAGGCGTTTGGACATTGCAAATTTTTAAATTGTTCATATTGACGTTTCCGTCTGGCATATAGTCGAGGGCGCTTCTAATCACAGTATTAGTGAAGGGTCGTTTAGAGCGCAGCGCGCTAGAACGTCCAAACTTGTCCAGACTCATCGTTAAACTAACGTATAAAACCTGATTCTTTTAGCTCTTCAACGATTGAAACTATTTCGTTATCATGAGACGTGTTGCCTGCGTGTTTCGACGCGATTAGTAATTTCAGACGCTCTACGAGTTCATTGACGTCGTCCCAGTATACATATTCAGTAGGAGCGTCATTATAACGCATATTATAACCTTGACCGCTGTACGAGTACGAACGCGACTGAGATTTTATTAAGGGTCGGATGACCTTGGTATATTTTGGTACAGTCGATGCGCCTTTCAGACGTCCGATCGCGTCCCTGTGCACCTGGGTAGCCTCCATTATTTTTTTATATTGTGCCAAATCGTCTTTTGTGTATGCTATGGGATCTTTTAAAAACACCAAATTATACAAGCCGCGGGTACCGGAATATCTCTCGCCGTCTACAATAATATCGCCAGATCCTTGATGAAAATCCAGCGATTTATTGCCGAGAAACCATTTGGATGATATTTTGTCGTAAACGGGTCCGTAAACAATATCGGTGTCGGGCGATTTTACCCATAAATTTTGAATATATGAATGGGAAATTTCTGGATATTGTTCCAGGTATGATTGAAGGGATGCGTTGGCCACGCTCGATGTGTCAAACACATCATCTTCCTCCTCATCGATATTTTGCATCTCAACGCTCTTATTGGGATCCGGCGTTTCCTGAATTTCTTCCATAGGCAAAAATGATACGTTAACCTTATTTTTTGTTTCTTCGTTCGGTTCCTTTTTGTGTTCCCGCTTGACACCTCGACGTTCAGTTTTTATTTCTGCCGGTGACGGTGATAGCTTTATTTTTGCTATACGTTCTAGCGGCTCGCTGACGGGTTTGAAAAGCTTCCGAATTGACGCATCCTCTTCGCTCTTACCCAATTTTAATCTTAAATACTTCTTTCGAATAGATCTAGACAACTCGTTTACTTTTTTTTTTAGCGCCGCGTCGGCGATGTCGGCGGACGTCGCCTTCATGACTGTTTCTATCGACAATTAAATATCGACTTTTATATATTTGTCGAAACCCTTGCGGTAGCGTCCGTTTTTTACGTCGAAATCTTTGACAATTATCAAACAGCCGTACTTTTCTTTCCAGCACTCGGAACAAATTTGTTTAAACGTGTCGTATGAAACGTCGGGTGAGACATGTTCATCATAAACGTGACGTAAATTCATGTCATCCTGTTTAAACAACGCGACAATATTGCAATTGTCACGTATCAATTGCTTGGGTACCTTGGAGTATGTCTGACAGAGATAAATAGCGTCGATGGCCTTGTGTCGGCAC